AGGCCTTAAAAGTTTACTATATTTCTTGTAAAATCAAAAACAAGTAAACGTATATAAAACTGAAGTTTCTAGTATTATATTATTTTTTTAAAATTATTTGTACGATACAAGATAGTACAGGATACAAATTCAACCACTATCACAAACACATATTAACATTGAAAAATGTACAATGGATTTCGGGTCCCCTACCAATGCCGCAAATAGGAACCGCGCATCATGAAAGTATTGCAAGCCCACTTCATATGTAGCGGCTTTTCGTGCTATGGACTTTGTTGTTTTTTTAAAAAGAATTGTGCCGGCGACAGCGTATGTTTGATTGTAGGGAAATAGAACTCGGCCTTGACGATGGTTAAAAAATACAACTATAAATAACTGTTTTAAATATGTAAAGAATTTGTCGACAATTTTTTAACCCCCTTTTTGGTCCCCATCCCCTGCCCCATCCGCCACAGTATACTTTGGAGGATCGGTCAAACAGTTACTTGTCCTCTATTTAGCTATCAAAGATAGGGGAGGGGGGGGGGGGGCAACGAGTCAAAGAAGTCATTCATAATTTGAAGATTTGCCTATATTTTACACTGTAGTTTGTGTAATGGATTTTATCTTTTGCGGAAGAGCGTGGTATAGTGACTGTAAAATAAAGATAATCGTACCGCAGCTACAGTGTTTTTCTTTTACAAACCAAATATTAAGGCAAAAATTAAATTCAAAATTAAAAAAAAAAATGTTGGTCAGCCGTGGGCCCCTAAACGGCCTCCCCCCCCCCCCCCCCCCGCGCATTGCGGGGTCTGGCGGGACTGTAGTTCCGCCCCTGTTCATCAGGTAAATGAACAACTACTGACTAGTGTCTTTAACAAAATGTGCAGAAGTGGTCAGTTTACAGTTCATAGACGGTTCGTTAATCTATGCATTACATCTTATTGTAAGAGTAAGGGTGTGGTGAGGGGTAGAAGTGAGGGGTAGGGGGGAGGGGGGGGAGAGAGTTGGGAAGGGAAGGGGACGAGAAAGCGCCGATAAACATCTACATCAATAGTGCCGACTTTTTCCGATCGTCTAGAAGACCAGGATAGTCGCCTCGCCGCAACATTTCCCCAGCCCGATTTCAAAGCGTACCGGCACAGTCAAATTTCAGATGCTTCGTCTTTGAAGTTGTCTATATGTCTGGCGGTCTCTCGAGCTATAGTCAGTGCATTTTTTCTCAAAGACGTTTGCCGACTATCGTGTTTGTTTGTAACTGTAGAAGAAAGATAACTCAACCTCCACCTATTTTTTTTTAAAAATAATTTAGCCCAATTGGGCCCCCAATTGGTCTGGGCCCCCCCACATTGCGGGGTCTGGCGGCACTGTAGTTCCGCCCCTGGTGGACAGACATCTTTATTCAAGCAGCCCTTCACATGATATTTAAAGACGCATGTTCGTAGACATTCACATGACATATAAAGACATATGTTTAAGTGTAGTGAACGAGTGAAGGGGGGGGGGGTGAATGGAGGTGAATGTTGTTATTTATTTGTACCCTGTCCCGTTCGCTGAACGGAAAAAAGTCAAAGGAAAAAAACACAGAAAAAGTCACAGTGGAAAAATTACAGAAATAAAGTCACAAAAATGTTTTTAGAAATATTTTGATTTATTTGTTAAGAATTGTCAAATTTTGTATGTTTATTGTTGCGGGTTGTATTTTTTAATAGAATAATTATTTATGGGAACAGGGCATTTCCCCCGTCAATTACCCCCAGACATTCCCCCCCCGACATTACCCCCCCCCCCGGAGTAATTACCCCCCTGTCAATAACCCCCCGCCCAGTAGGACATTACCCCCCCCCCGTCAGGTTTAGAGTTAGGGTTAGGGCTAGGTTTAGGGTTAGGGTTATGGTTAGGGTTAGAGCTAGGTTTAGGGCTAGGGTTAGGGTTAGGGTTAGGGTTAGAGCTAGGTTTAGGGTTAGGGTTAGGGTTAGGGTTAGGGTTAGGGCTAGGTCTAGGGTTAGGGTTTGGGTTAGGGTTAGGGTTAGGCTTAAACCAATATCTAGCGTTGGTTTTGGTTTTGTGTGAAGTTTTAGGCTAAGGTGGATGCTTAGGTTTTGGTCTTTTTCTTAAGGTTAGGATCAAAGTAGTATATAGGTATAGAATCCTAGTTAGAGTTAGGATTCTAACTTGAGAGGGGGGGGGGGAATTCACAGGGTGGTAATTTCTCCGGGGGGTAAATACGGGGGGGGGGATGTCCGGGGGGGTGTAGCAATTTCCTGTAGCAATAATTTATAGACGTTAAAAGCATTATGGTTTACAACAATTGTAAGTGAAAATACTCTAAGATAATTTACACAACAATCTCAACTTTTGTTACGTATTTAGTTAAATACACGGTAGAAAAGTTAATTATAAAAGAAATGTAGGCAAATTTTGCCGTAGGCTATTCTCTGGTCGGTCTCTCCTCAGTAGGCATTGTCCGAACATATTTTGTGTTGTTGAAGTTTTGCGTCAATGTCAGCCTTTGAACCTTGTCGGCTTTCTGTTTGGATCCTAAGTTTTGTTGTGTAATGAGCGTGATAAATGTGGGCAGTAAAAGTGGTTGAACTAAACATATGTAACCCTCACTCAGTGGGGATGCTTTTACCCACTGAGGAGTTGTGGTTAAGAAGGGCTGACCCTGAGATTTAGAACACACTGACACCGACAGTTGTTGTCAAGTACTCGCTTTATTCACGGCATCAAGCCATGACGGCGATGCATCACACAGTAGTACGACGATTATAAAACAGAGAGAAAAAAACCGAATAAAAAAGAAACAAAGAAAACTGTAGCCCTTCATTAGGTCTACATCTTGGTCACCGTGTCCACAGACAGCAACCTTGCGTGTAACTGACACGGCTAGGCACGAAACTACCCACAGTCCCATGTCACATGACATGGGACACAGGTAACATCGCTCACAAGAGCAAGAAAAAAAAACCTACATCAACAGTTCAGTTGCGGTCCCACAGGGGACGCAACCCAATGAATTAAAACTTCATTCTGTTGGTATTTTAAAAAAAACACGATGAAAACAGTGGACTTTAGAGCATTCTATTAAATGCTACTTATCTTAAGTTTAACATAATTACAATCTACATACTTCATACTAAATATTTTTAGATGAGTTATAAAAATTACTATTCGTATACAGCCTACACACATTACATTACATTTAATTAATCCTAACTTAATTTGCACTCTCTAAATATTTAATGCACAAAAGTATTAACAAATATCATGCAAATATATATTTGTGACTTTTTTCCTGTGACTTTTTTCCTACAATCTTCCCGTTCGGCCCTGTTCAATCCTCGTGCTGTGAGTTGTGACAGTCCGGTTTATACCTGTTTTCTGTAAACATATATTAGGTGTGTAATAACGTGTGTGATTGCCTCCAGTTTCGTCCATCATCCAAGGTTAGAGTAGGATAATTAGTTAGCCACTGTATCTTAGTGTTTCTACTAGTCTTCGTATTTTGTGTTAAGAATAGACCGTATTAGTGTAGATACTATATATTATTAAATTATTTTAGTATTAAAGAGCAGTTTGTTTCATTTAGTCTTGTTTTACAACCAGTTTGTGGTTGTTCGTCTTGTATGTTCCGCTGCGCACTGGATCAAAAGTAAAGGCGTGTCCATGTGTTCACAACAAATAATTGGGGGCTCGTCCAGGATCTGATCTAGACTTTTTTAAAAGAGAGGTTCCACATCCCGGACGAGCCCCCAATTATTTGCTGCGCTACGCACTGGATCACCCATTATATTTAAAGACACTTAAAGACACCTGTTGAAGGTAGTCAATCACATGACATATCAAAACACCTGTTGAAGGTAGCCATTGACATGAAATACATTAAATCAGTTGTTACACATGCTGACCTGCTGCAGACCTGAATTTGACCAACTACTGTTGATGATAGATGTGACCTCTAACCAGAAGTTGACCCCCAGATTGACCCCGGAAGTTATTTTCCCCATCAGGTGACATTGGCTACTACAACAAGGACGGGCTGGTCTTTATAAAGGACAGACTGAAGGAGCTTATCAAATACAAGGGCTCACAGGTAAGTTCAATAGAACACTTTATAAAGGACAGACTGAAGAAGCTTATCAAATACAAGGGCTCACAGGTAAGTTCAATAGAGCACTTTATAAAGGACAGACTGAAGGAGCTTATCAAATACAAGGGTTCACAGGTAAGTTCAATAGAGCACTTTATAAAGGACAGACTGAAGGAGCTTATCAAATACAAGGGCTCACAGGTAAGTTCAATAGAGCACTTTATAAAGGACAGACTGAAGGAGCTTATCAAATACAAGGGTTCACAGGTAAGTTCAATAGAGCACTTTATAAAGGACAGACTGAAGGAGCTTATCAAATACAAGGGCTCACAGGTAAGTTCAATAGAGCACTTTATGAAGGACAGACTGAAGGAGCTTATCAAATACAAGGGCTCACAGGTAAGTTCAATAGAGCACTTTATAAAGGACAGACTGAAGGAGCTTATCAAATACAAGGGCTCACAGGTAAGTTCAATAGCAGCACTTTATAAAGGACAGACTGAAGGAGTTGTCCTCCAATGTTATCCTCCAATATAAAGTTGTCCTCCAATATAAAGTTGTCCTCCAATGTTGTCCTCCAATATAAAGTTGTCCTCCAATATAAAGTTGTCCTCCATTATAAAGTTGTCCTACAATATAAAGTTGTCTTCCAATGTTGTCCTCCAATATAAAGTTGTCCTACAATGTTGTCCTCCAATGTTGTCCCCCAATGTTGTCCTACAATATAAAGTTGTCCTCCAATATAAAGTTGTCCTCCAATGTTGTCCTCCAATGTGGTCCTCCAATATAAAGTTGTCCTCCAAAGTTGTCCTCCAATATAAAGTTGTCCTCCAATATATAGTTGTCCTCCAATGATGTCCTCCAATATAAAGTTGTCCTCCAAAGTTGTCCTCCAATATAAAGTTGTCCTCCAATATAAAGTTGTCCTCCAATGTTGTCCTCCAATATAAAGTTGTCCTCCAATGTTGTCCTCCAATATAAACTTGTCCTCTAATATAAAGTTCTCCTCCAATATAAGGTTGTCCTCCAATGTTGTCCTCCAATGTTGTCCTCCAATATAAAGTTGTCCTCCAAAGTTGTCCTCCAATATAAAGTTGTCCTCCAATATAAAGTTGTCCTCCAATATAAAGATGTCCTCCAATATAAAGTGATCCTCCAATGTTGTTCTCCAATATAAAGTTGTCCTCCAATATAAAGTTGTCCTCCAATATAAAGATGTCCTCCAATATAAAGTTGTCCTCCAATATAAATTTGCCCTCCAATATAAAGTTGTCCTCCAATGTTGTCCTCCAATGTTGTCCTCCAATATAAAGTTGTCCTCCAATATAAATTTGCCCTCCAATATAAAGTTGTCCTCCAATGTTGTCCTCAAATGTTGTCCTCCAATATAAAGATGTCCTCCAATATAAAGTTGCCACAATGTTGTCCTCCAATATAAAGTTGTCCTCTAATGTTGCCCTCCAATATAATGTTGTCCTCCAATGTTGTCCTCCAATATAAAGTTGCCCCCAAAGTTGTCCTCCAATATAAAGTTGCCCCCAATATTGTTCTCCAATATAAAGTTGTCCTCTAATGTTGCCCTCCAATATAATGTTGTCCTCCAATGTTGTCCTCCAATATAAAGTTGCCCCCAAAGTTGTCCTCCAATATAAAGTTGCCCCCAATATTGTTCTCCAATATAAAGTTGTCCTCCAATGTTGTCCTGACAGGTGCCGCCAGCAGAGCTTGAAGCCCTGTTACTGGGACACCCTGATGTACAAGACGTGGCTGTCATTGGAGTCCCTGACGACCAGGCTGGGGAGTTGCCAAAGGCGTTTGTCGTCAAGAAACCGGGTTCGAAACTAACTGAGAAGGAGGTGGCTCGTTTTGTTGAAGGTAGGAAACTGTCACACGTTAACCTTGACCCGTGTCAGACCTTAACCCTAACCTAGACCCGTGTCAGACCTTAACCCTAATCTTGACCCGTGTCAGACCTTAACCCTAATCTTGACCCGTGTCAGACCTTAATCCTAACCTTGACCCGTGTCAGACCTTAACCCTAACCTAGACCCGTGTCAGACCTTAACCCTAACCTTGACCCGTGTCAGACCTTAACCCTAATCTTGACCCGTGTCAGACTTTAACCCTAATCTTGACCCGTGTCAGACCTTAACCCTAACCTTGACCCGTGTCAGACCTTAACCCTAACCTAGACCCGTGTCAGACCTTAACACTAACCTTGAACCGTGTCAGACCTTAACCCTAACCTTGACCCGTGTCAGACCTTAACCCTAACCTTGACCCATGTCATACCGTAACCCTAACCTTGACCCGTGTCAGACCTTAACCCTAACCTTGACACGTGTCAGACCTTAACCCTAACCTTGACCCGTGTCGGACCTTAACCCTAACCTTGACCCGTGTCAGACCTTAACCCTAACCTTGACCCGTGTCAGACCTTAACCCTAACCTTGACCATGGTCAGACCTTAACCCTAACCTTGACCCGTGTCAGACCTTAACCCTAACCTTGACCATGGTCAGACCTTAACCCTAATCTTGACCCGTGTCAGACCTTAACCCTAACCTAGACCATGGTCAGACCTTAACCCTAGCGTATTTTCAGAGCGCGTGTCCCATACGAAGAAACTACGTGGCGGTGTCCAGTTTGTTGAGGACATCCCCAAGAACCCTAGCGGCAAAATCCTCAGGAGAGTTTTAAGGGAGAAATACTTGTAGCTTCTGTTGCCATGGTTTTATTTAGGGACCAGATTTTGTTACCAAGAGAAATACTTGAAGCTTCTGTTTACAGGATATGTAAATGCTCAAATATTAAAAAAAAATGACATTGTAATTTATCTGACAAGTTGTTCATGTAAGGTGTGTAGTCTGAGTTCAGCCACCGCAGCGTGTCCTTAATTATAATATTGGTGACGTCATAGCTTCGCCAATGTGTCTCTTATTTATTATTGTGAAATGACGTGAGATGAGAACCGGTGATCTATACATCTGTTTACATCTGTTTACATCTGTTTACATTTTTTTACATCTTTTACAAAACATCAAATTGACTAAATCCTGCTCTACATTATATTATATCAATCCCAATTTTGTATACATATATGATTCGTGCTATATGCTTTGATCATCCAATAAAATGCTTTCAACCATCGAAATCTTTTCCTCTGTGATGTTTTTACCTTAAGGGTTATTCGTCAATTTGTTGGCTGTTTGTTCGTTTGTTTGTTGATTTCGTCGGAACTGTGCACATCTAATATATAAAGCTCAATTCTGTATGTATTAAGTTTGTTTGTCGTTGACATACTTCTATGGATTAAGTGTTAGACTATTACCGTGCTCAAAGTCTAAATTTATGAGTTAAAAAATTATTATTGAAAGTGTTGGGAGATGATTTTCATTTTCAAACTGATAATAATAATTGTCGGCATGTTCATTAAAGACAATTTTAAAAAAATAACAAAAATTCTAATTATGTCTAAAATTATTTATATTTAGTCCTTTAGCACTTACTTCCCTTTGATAAATTAGGAAAACACAATTACTTCCCTTTATAAAAAATTGCATTAGTGGAAAAGAATTTACTTTTTATTACTTTGCTTTGGTGTTGGGGAAAAAATAATAACATAATTAGCGGGGATTGATCAAGTGCAAATGTTGTGGGTATTTTACGAATAAGCTTGGAGTATTATAATTGTTCATTTGGTTTGGTTTGGCACCTACGTTCGTTTAAGTGAGTGCAAAAGACTATGAATAAGTTGGGGTACTATAGTCGATTATTAAGCTGAAACAGGCGATTCTGCCCCGGGCTAGACTGTGAGCACTTTGCGTTTATGTTCGCGTTAGTGTTTTCTTTGTGTTTAGGTTGGGTTTGCGTTAGTGGTTGCGTTTTGATTTGGTTCGTTTTTGTTCTTTCTTTTTTCGTTTTCGTTTGTATTTTTTTCTTTGGGTTTGTATTTGTGTTTGTGGTTGGTTTTGCGTTTGGATTTGGTTTGTTTTCGTTTGCTTTTTACAAGCTTTTATTTAACTCACTTCCTCGACAGTCTGTCTGTCTAGACCGAAACGCCGGAGTGAAAATTCGGAAACTTCTACTTGATCGATACGATTCACACTTGGCACGTGGGTCAAGACATGAAGACAATGCAATCTGAAATTAAATTTGACTTAATTGGATGCCTAATTAATTTTTTATGAATTAATTAAAATTTGGACCAAATTAGTAGGCATGTCTATCCAACCACACCACACGCGTCATCACGTTCAATAGCTGCGCCATCACGTTCAGTAGGCGCGCAATGGTTTTTAGTCATGTAACTCTATTGTAAATAAAACATGTAAAGTACTGAAAAAAAAAATTCATAAAAAACGTTTTAATAACGTTTGTGGTTGTGGTAGGGTTTGTTGTTAGGTTTTTGTTTTCGTTTGCTTTTTTGTTTGTTTTTTCTTTGTGTTTGTATTGGTGTTTGTGATTGTGGTTGGGTTTGTTGTTAGGTTTTTGTTTTCGTTTGCTTTTTTGTTTGTTTTTTCTTTGTGTTTGTATTGGTGTTTGTGATTGTGGTTGGGTTTGTTGTTAGGTTTTTGTTTTCGTTTGTATTTGTAATTGTGTTAGCGTTATGTTTGCGTTTTGTTGTTTTGGTTGGTTGTGGTTTGGGTGGGCAATGCCGGGTTTATGATGATTACTAAACACACAGGTCTTTAACAGAAAGGTTTTTCACAGAAGCCAGAGCAGGGCCTGGCCGGGACGGCTAGTAGTATATAAAGTATGTTTTAACAATTCAATTATCGACAAATTTATGACGATCTAATTATTACACAAATTATGACGATCTAATTACCTAAAACTTTATTACGATCTAATTATCGAAAATTTATGACGATCTAATTATGTAAAAAATGTAACAAATGGCAATGTAATTCTTTTTTAAAAATCACGCCAAAAAATTAATAGAAATGTTACAATAAACATTAAAGAAGGGGGGGGGGGATCAGGGGCGGATTAAGCTTGAGCGGGGCTCCCGGCTGAAAATTTTTTGGAGGACCCCATATGTATATATATATATATATATATATATATATATATATATATATATATATATATATATATATATATATATATATATATATATATATATATATATATATATATATATATAGGCGATAGGATGAACGGTGCAGTCATACATACAGGACATGTGCGCCTACACACACAAACCCACACTCCCCCAACACACCCACATACACACACGCCTAAGGGTTTGTCTACAATATCACAAAATTTCAGTCTTGTCGAGGAGTGTTTTTTCCCCGATCATTCAAGGCGAAGGTCACTCTCGATCAGTTCTCTCCCACTCGTGGTCGATTGGCATTATTTCCAGTCATTGGTGATCTTTACGCGGTACACTGCCAAATTTGTAAACTTGATTTGGGACCCTGCCAAATTTGTAAACTTGATTTGGGACCCTGCCAAATTTGTAAACTTGATTTGGGACCCTGCTAAATTTGTAAACTTGATTTGGGACCCTGCCAAATTTGTGGACTTGATTAGGTTTGCGGGCAATGCCCTAAAATTTTTTTGTCGTTCCATGATGTTCCACAGAACTGTTTCCTTTGAAACTGACTTCACTTGGTTAAGTTGACTCGTCAACATAAAACTGGCCTACGGTTAGAGTTCAGTTCTCGCGGTTACATCCCCTGACGCGTGTTGACAGATTTCTATATTTAGACAATTCTCCTACGTACTGAAATCATTCTTTGGTCCACATAAGTTCACTCTAAACTCTAACAACTTATTCATCGTGAATTGCTAGATTAAGTTGTGTTTACAATATTCGTTGGTCGTATTTCAATAAGTGAGCTGAGAATGGATTTACCTGATCCAATGACAGCATGCACCATTGCGAGTAAACCTATATAAACCAATATTCTTCTGCGTGACTCGCGAAATCATTGCCGTGTGGCTGGTATTTCAGTTCAAAGGACAGGAAAGGGGGACAAACTTGTTTGTTACATTTTATAACCTTTGCGACATGTGCTTGAAAAATTAGGTCAGTGTGCTTGTGCTTCCAGGGTGTACATTAACCAAGTGCTGTGTACATTAACCAGGTGCTGTGTACATTAACCAAATGCTGTGTACACTAACCAGGTGCTGTGTACACTAACCAGGTGCTGTGTACACGCTGTGGTAGAAACTGTGTGAGGTAAGGATTTTTAGTCACAACCTTACTAAACTGTTTAAATGTTTGAACTGATCACATTAGACTGCAGGGTTCTCCAAACTTTTCAGTTCGGGGGCCAGAGTTTCTTTAAGGCATCTCTTCGGGGAGGGGGTACCTCCCGAAGAACGTCTACCGCCCCCCCCCCTAACGAAATATAATTTAGATAGAAATATTTGCAAATTTCAAGTGTCCACCCCCCCTCCCCCCGCCCCACCCCCACGGAGAAAAACTGGAAGAAACGCTTTCGGGGGTCGATAACACTCTCAAATTGTTCTTCACGTATTTCATTCTTGAAAATGTTTGTTCACACAGGTATGTTGTTTCAAAATTTGAAAGGTACTTTGATGCAGAACTTTTAATATTAGGAAAGTCTTCCTTGTGCAAAAACTTAGGAAAATTAATCTGCCCTTCTTTGAACGTGTCTCTAAGGAAGTCATTTTCTTTCAATTCAATGACCTCCAGCTGCTGTTCATCTTTGCAACTGGCCACATTTGCATCATATGGGTTTGGAGACCCCTGCATTAGAGTATAGCTAGATATACTAGCACTACTTTATATTATAGCTAGATTTATAGGCCCACAGCGCTCTGTGACCGACACCCAACGCCCCGACACCTAGCGCCCCGGTGACCGCCTACCACTTGAGAATAATTGTTTTTAGCAACAACACCAACCATCACGTCATCCAGTAGCGTACGCAGGGGGGGGGGGGGGGGAGCAGGGGAGCGGCCGCTCCCCTTCTGGCCATTTTCAGCAAAGTGGCGCCTTTTTGGAAACTTTTTAAACTCAAAGTTTTAAACAATGATATTTGTTAAAAAAATATTTTTGGTCGGCACATCTATGTAAATCAAAAGATTTCTTTTCATGCAGCAATTAAGCATTATTGTACTAGTCTAATAGTGTCTACGTTTACAACACGTATTAATAGCTGCATCAGTTTTTCATTCTAAAAATAACCATTACGATGCATTCTAATGTTTAAAAAAACCTCTACGGGTAGTATCACTTGGCAAGAGGGGTGTTAAGTAAGTTTAAGGCAACTGTATAATGTATTTGCTTACGAATAATTGAATTAGAAAATGTTATACATAAAATTTCACACATAATTACTTTATGTATACAGTTTGAATCGTGTGATTAATTTAAAAAAAATTACAATACAGAAACAAATACAACTGATGTAGCACCTCTATTTAAATTTACTTACGAGCAAACTGCGTAGTGGTGGGGAAATTTTGACAAGGTCAACAACGTCATCACGATGAAGTAGTAGTATTCTAACAGTTTGGGCTAGAGTGATTACGATTACAAATTATATGAAACAGTTACAACCACCCCTCCCCCATGGACCCCTAAGTAAAAAAATATTGCTACTTATTTAAATCTATTTCTGTAATATATATTTGTGTAATATATATTTGTATAATATATATGTATGTTTAGAACAGTCATCTAAAAACTGACGCTATGTTCACTCTGAGTTGGTTATCTCCCCCCCCCCACACCTCACTGTAGAGCGACATTAATGTCACACCTAGGTATACACTGGGTTGGATAATTGACCTAAAGTGACCGGTCAGTGGTGAATGAATTACTCAAAATTTGACAGAAGGTAGAGAATTAGAGTCTAGATCTTTTACTTACATGTGAAATTTCATTTATCTATCTGAAATAGTACTTAAGTTATAGGCTTTTGAAAAATTCAAAGTAGAAAAAGTACCACTTCCGGTTATCGGAAATCGCTCAAAAGTTGATACGGATCTACGATTTTGATAAAATACTTATATAAGAAATTTCATCAACCTAGCTTAACCGTACTCAAGTAATCGTGTTTACACACAGACACACACACACACACACACACACACACACACACACACACACACACACACACACACACACACACACACAGACATACGGAAAAGATTGCAAAATTATGTTTTTCCGTATCAGTGAGGTGTAAAACGTCGAGATTTGTAAAAATCTCGATTTTTTTTTTGCACGATTACAATACTTTCTCTATATTTCGTATATACGAGAAAATAAAAATGATCTTTTAGAACACAAAGAAGCAGTAGTTAATTAAAAATATATGATCTGAACTAAAAGACCTATGTTTAGTTAAATGTATGCTGTCATTCCCAGTGTTTTCTATTATATCGAAAAGCGTGGTTTTATACCAACTCTAAATTTTAAAAACTTTCATTATACTGTAATTTTTTAGCATTTATGATGACGATGTATTAAATTCTGATTATAGACAAAAACATTTTGTAAACACGAATAGTGTTAAAGAATTTCATTATATTCTAAAGTAATTATTTATTTGTTTTGACATTTATAACTAAATATGTAGATATATACATATTTATATTAAGAGAGTGATTATTTCCCCTATTTCACTTGTCTTAAAAAATTTCCCAGGAATTATTATGTAAGACATCTTTTTACAAGAATTACAAAACAGATTGTGTTACGTTCATTGTTTTTGGTTGTAGTGTGTTTATATATTTTTTTGTTTAAATTGATACAATTTTTGTTTTGTCGGCCTACATTGTGTGTTTTTTCTTATTTCTTCAGACTGCTACTTTCAATTCATTTTCCCACGTTTTCTTTAACTTGCTTTCGCCTCTGTTTGTTTGTTTGTTTTTCCAATCAAATCTTGCGATCGAAATTTTGGGCACTTCCCAGTTAGCTAGCGCGCTGAAATTTTCAGGGAAGCTTTGTTTCGGATGACAATAGAATATTCAACTGTTATTATTACTAAATTGATCCATGGAAACATTTTATTGATCATTTTATACCCCTATATAATTGTACAAAAAACGTGGGGGAAAAAGGGACATAACCCAGTAACTGTAATTTGATGAAAACAAGGTTCGGTACTCTCCCTCTTTTTCTTACTGAGTTGTTGTCACTCGGTGTTTGTCTACAAACAACCAGAACGTAACAACTGGTGGCCAGTATGGGGGAGACGATATGGTCGAGTGGTTGGGCACACGATTGCTAACCCACTCGACACGGGTTCAAATCTATGTGTTCTAGTCAGTAACGTATTCACACAACGTGTTTTTTACGAGTTGTCTTTTTACGAGTTGTCTTCGTTTACCCAAAAAAAAAGTGAAAAGATAAAATCGATAGCAAGATTTCAATGCAAACAAACAGACAAAGACTAAAAAGTAGAAAATAATTATCATTAAAAAAGTTTAAAAAAACCCACGTTTTCTGATTGAGCTAAAAAGTAGAAAATAAATGCTATACATCACAATAATGCAAGCGATCACTCTATTATAAGCGATGAAAAACGTGGGGCGCCGTGATTTTCTTACAGTTTCTAATACTGTTGACTCTCTACAAGCTCCCTAATAAAAGTCAATAGTATTATCTAATCAATAGTAATATAACTTTTACTTCGGCGCCCCACGTTTTTCATCGCTTATAGTAGAGTGATCGCTTGCATTATTGTGATGTATAGCATTTATTTTCTACTTTTTAGTTCAATCAGAAAACGTGGGTTTTTAAAAACTTTTTTAATGATTATTATTACATCATAGCGACGTAATGACATACAGCTAGTAATTATATATATATAAAAATTCGGCGCCTTCCTTTGCTCTTTTCGCTCCCCCTACAACGAAAACCTGGATACGCCTCTGACGTGATGATAAGATCCCTAGTGACACGTGACAAATGTCATGATCCTTAGTGACTCGTAACAAATGTCTTAAGATCTTTAGTGGCTCGTGACAAATGTCATAAGATCCTTAGTGATTCTTGACAAATGTCATAAGATCCTTAGTGACTTGTGACAAATGTTATAAGATCCTTAGTGTCTCATGACACATGTCATAAGATCCTTAGTGACTCGTGACACATGTCATAAGATCTTTAGTGATAAATGTCATAAGATCCTTAGTGACTTGTGACACATGTCATAAGATTCTTAGTGACTCGTGACACATGTCATAAGATCCTTAGTGACTCGTGACAAATGTCATAAGATCCTTAGTGACTCGTGACAAATGTCATAAGAACCTTAGTGACTCGTGACACATGTCATAAGATCCTTAGTGACTCGTGACAAATGTCATAAGATCCTTAGTGACTTGTGACAAATGTTATAAGATCCTTAGTGTCTCATGACACATGTCATAAGATCCTTAGTGACTCTTGACAAATGTCATAAGATCCTTAGATATAAATGTCATAAGATCCTTAGTGACTTGTGACACATGTCATAAGATTCTTAGTGACTCGTGACACATGTCATAAGATCCTTAGTGACTCGTGACAAATGTCATAAGATCCTTAGTGACTCGTGACAAATGTCATAAGAACCTTAGTGACTCGTGACACATGTCATAAGATCCTTAGTGACTCGTGACAAATGTCATAAGATCCTTAGTGACTTGTGACAAATGTTATAAGATCCTTAGTGTCTCATGACACATGTCATAAGATCCTTAGTGACTCTTGACAAATGTCATAAGATCCTTAGTGACTCGTGACACATGTTATAAGATCCTTAGTTACTCGTGACACATGTCATAAGATCCTTAGTGACTCGTGACAAATGTCATAAGATCCTTAGTGACTCGTGACAAATGTCATAAGATCTTTAGTGACAAATGTCATAAGATCATTAGTGACTCGTGACATATGTCATAAGATCTTTAGTGACAAATGTCATAAGATCATTAATCACGTTTGAAAATTGTCAATAAAACTTCTACAGGTTTACATTGGGTTTTGTGCTGGTTGACGTACAGTTTGCTGGATGACGTACAGTTTGCTGGATGACGTACAGTTAGCTGGATGACGTACAGTTAGCTGGATGACGTACAGTTTGCTGAATGACGTACAGTTTGCTGGATGACGTACAGTTAGCTGGTTGACGTACAGTTTGCTGGATGACGTACAGTTTGCTGGATGACGCAGAGCACTACGAAAAACGGCATGTCAACTCCATCTCAGTTCGCTCCTGGCTCCGACGGATATGTGACCGGCACTGACGGATCTGTTACCGGCTCTGACGGACGTGTGACCGGCTCTGACGGACGTGTGACCGGCTCTGACGGATGTGTTGCCGGCACTGACGGATGTGTTACCGGCACTGACGGATGTGTTACCGGCACTGACGGATGTGTTACCGGTTCTGACGGATGTGTTACCGGCACTGACGGATGTGTTACCGGTTCTGACGGATGTGTTACCGGCACTGACGGATCTGTGACCGGCTCTGACGGATGTGTGACAGACAATACGACTCCAACGATGTATGTACCTGGTCCATCGCTGGAAGAACATTTTATTATCAAACGATACACATACCCAGTTGACAGACACCGGTCTACTGATGACAGACCAGATGACAGACACCAGTCTCCTGATGACAGACCAGATGACAGACCAGATGACAGACCAGATGACAGACCTGATGACAGATCAGATGACAGACCAGATGACAGACCAGATGACAGACACCAGTCTCCTGATGACAGATCAGATGACAGACCAGATGACAGACCAGATGACAGACCAGATGACATACCAGATGACAGACCAGATGACAGACCAGATGACAGAGACCGCTGTGCTGGCCAAGAGAGCCGAGTGTTTGTCCCCATCACGATTATCCTGGTGTGTTACGTCACCACCTTCATCTCGCTGTCCCCCCTCTCCACCCAGTACTTCACATCCCGGCTGGCCCGCACCAACCTCACCGCCGGTCCGTCTGCTGACCACTGCAGCAACGTGTCGGTCCAGCAAGACGAGCCAGACGTCCAGCGGCGGGTGGCCGACATGAGCCTGTACGCCACACTATGCACCGGACTGCCGGCCGCCGTCTGCCTGCTCTTCATGGGATCCTGCTCGGACTATGTGGGTCGGAAGCCGCTGCTCGTTGCCACGCTAGTCGGCGGCACCACGCGAGTCGCCAGCCTCGCTCTCATCATCCTTTTCGACCTTGACCTCGAGTGGTATTTTCTGGGCTCGGCCTTGGACGGGCTTGCCGGTTCGTTCTACGCCCTGTCCCTGCTGGTGACCGCCATGATAGTTGACGCCACGCCCACTCACTCCAAGCGGGCCGTCAGACTGGCGTACGTCGAGGGCTTGCTGCTCGTGTTTGGCGCATTATCTCAGGTCAGTTGGGGTCAAGGGTCAGCTGGGCCACAGGTCAGCTAGATTTGCACGAATGAGTTACGGACGGATGTAAATAATATGTCTTTTACGTTTATTTAAGGTCAATTCATTATGTAAAGTCTTAGGTTAATTTAGTCCCTACAAACAAAGGTCAATTTATTCTGTACGTTATTAGGTCAATTTAGTATGTTCAATCTTTGTACAACCTTAGATAAATTAATGTTTTCGATCTTAATTTAGCGTGTGCAATCCTGAACTATATTAGCTACGCCTTCCGGCTTTCTAAAGAGAGTAGGCGTAGGGGTGCCATGACAAATCATCTCAGGACAAATGATCTCAGACAAAATATCTCAGACAAAATATCATAGACAAAATATCTCACAGCAAAATTTTAATAGTATGTACGATGATTTTAGTTGATTTGAACTTTTTAAAAATTGACTGTCAATAAGGTTTTGATTACTTTTTACGCATATATATATATATATATATATATATATATATATATATATATATATATATATATATATATATATATATATATATATATATATATATATATATATATATATATATATATATATATATATATATATATATATATATATATATATATATATATATACTAGCGTACCCGTCCCCGCGCGTTGCCGCGGGTATAGTAGAAAGTCCGACGAAATATATAAGAAGGGTTTCATCCATGCGTTACCAATCCTATATTCTTAGACTCGTGACATTTTTTTCTAAAAGTGAGTTATTTAAATGGAAACAGTTCCTGCGCTTGGATCATAAATATCGGGAAACGGGTTTACCTACACTACCGCATGAAAACATTGAGTGTACATTAATCACTCATCGAAATAAAATGGTAGAACACACTTCGGTGACCACCCATGTATCAGAGACGTAGAGGGGCGCTCTCAGGAGCCCCCCCCCCTGATTACACTACCGCATAGGCTCGGCGTACGAATCCTGTCTCCTTAAAACTAACAGGTGCCATCGTGCCAAATAGCATCCTATTAACAATGACGCAGATAGCGTCATTCGCTAAAGGGACACTGTATTTGTTATTTAACACGTAAAAAAATTATTAGACGTGTTTTAAACATCAGTGTGACTGATGCAATATGTTCTAATGGTCTATTATTAGATGCTCGATCTCAATTTTTGATTGGATTATCTAAAAATAGATGCTAATTGCATCATTCGCAAAGTAACGAAACTGTTTGGATTTTTTTTACTGACAAAAAGAAGCATCCCAGTTAATAATCTAACCTTGGTTAATTTTTCTGATTATTTATTAAAATAAAACGTATTAAATGGCCCTCAGCGGCCAATGTGAGCCTTTGGGGGCCAAAACAGACATTTTTATTTGCAGCCTAATCGCACCCTACCAGGGCGCCAGAGGACACGCCTGATTCAATTTAGTAAGCGTTTGTAACGACCCATCCTATTCATTGTCTATCACACTGTTTAGACCGAACGTATTCACCATAGCGCTCACGAGAAAGACCATGGGCCAAATCGCATCCTGCCGGGGGGCCTTACATGCAAAATTAAATCCCCCTCCCCCACCACCCACCCATCCCTATTTCACCCTCCCACCCCAGAAACCTCGGGAGTATTCATCAACTCCCTAAAATTTTATGGCACCGGGATAAACTGTGTCGAACCGCAATCGTCTTTTATTTTTATATACCGTATACAGAGAAAAATCCCACCATCCCGTGGCGCCGCCCTTGCGAAATTAATTTAAAAAAAGATTTTTTTTACAGAAACCTTCCCTGGAGTGTTCTAATCAACTCCCCAAAGTTTTATGGCGATCGGATTAACGTTTGTGAGACAGCAGTCGACTTTTATTTTTATTTACCATATATAGAGAAAACAAATCGCGCCCTGCCGGGGCGCCACCCCTGCGAATTTGAAAATGTTTTTAGCGCAGAAACCTCCCCAGGAATATTTTCAACATCTTCCCAAAGTTTCATGGCGATTGTGTGAACGGTGTCACAGCGAATCACTTTTATTATTTTTATATACCATACGTAGAGAAAAATCGCACCCTCCCGTGGCGCCGCCCTTGCGGAGTTAAAAATGATTTTTTTACAGAACCCTTCCCCAGAATATTCTAATCAACTCCCCAAAGTCTCATGGCTATCGGACTAACGATGTCAAACCGCAATCGACGTTTATTTTTATATACCGTACATAGAGAAAAAACAAATTGCGCCCTGCCTGGGCGCCACCCCTGCGAATTTGAAACATTTTTTTCCGCAGAAACCTCCCCAGGAATATTTACAACAACTTCCCAAAGTTTCACGGCGACGTGATGAGAGGTATAGTAATGCATAAAAGACAGACACACACATACAGACAGACACACAGACATACTAAGCTTTATATATATATATATACTAGCGTACCCGACCCCCTCGCGTTGCCGCGGGGATAGAAGAAAGTTTGACGAAATATATTAGAAGGATTTCACCAACGCGTTATCAATTATATGTTCTTAGACGCGTGACCTTCTTTTCTAAAAATGATTTATTTAAATGTAAACAATGCCTGCGCTTGGATCATAAATATCAGGACACGGGTTTACCTACACTACCGCATGAAAAACTTGAGTGTACATTAATCACTCACCGAAATGATATGGTATAACACACTTCGGTGACCGCCCCTGTGTCAGAGACGTAGAGGGGCGCTCTCAGCCCCCCCCCCCCCCGATTACACTACCGCATAGGCGCGGCGTACGACCCCCGGCTCCTTAAAAGTAACAGGCGCCATCGGCCAAATAGCATCCTGTTAATAATGATGCAGATTCCGTCATTCGCTAAAGTGACACAAATGAACAGGGCTTTTTTCTTTAACACGTAAAAAAATTAGTTGACCTGTTTTAAATATCAGTGTGACTGATGCAATATGCTAGCGTTACTAATGGTCTATTATTAGATGCTCGATCTCAATTTCTGACTGGATTGTCTAATAATAGATGCTTATTGCATCATTCGCAGAGTGACGAAACTCAACAGTAGGCTCCTCATATTCAAAAAGTTATTTTTTCATCTTTGGCAAGGTGACGAAACTGTACAAAAGGATTTCCTCGCGTTACAAAGTTATTTTTAGAAGCCTGTTGTAGTTTTACCGCTGAATATAGTAGTACCCCTTATACGCTATGCAGGACGCTCGATTAACGGATGCCAAGTGCCAACATAGTCACTCTAAAACTCTGGGCGCCAAACCGTGTATTGACGAAAGTTGTAGCCTATATGGTGCCGCCCATAAGAAACTTTAGTTTTCTTTTTCGCAGAAATATTCTCGGGATGAACCGCATCCGAGTTTTATTTCTTATATACCGTGTATAGATTTAAAAAATCGCTCCCCCTCCCCCGGGGGGCGCCGCCCTTGCAATATTAAACAATATTTTTTTGCAGAACCCTACCATTGAGTAACCTAATCATCTCCCCAAAGTTTCATGGCACACGGATGAACGGTGTGAAACCGAAATTTTAAAAACCGTATATAGAGAAAAATCGCAGCCTCCCGTGGCGCCGCCTTTGCGAAATCAAAAAAAGGATTTTTTTTTACAGAACCCTTCCCTGCATTGTTCTAATCAACTCCCCCAAAGTCTCATGGCTATCGGATAACGGTGTCACACAAAAATCGACTTTTATTTTTATATACCGTATATAGAGAAAAATCGCACCCTCCCGTGGCGCCGCCCTTGCGAATTTAAAAATGATTTTTTACAGAACCCTTCCCTAGAGTTTTATAATGAACACCCCAAAGTTTCATGCCTATCGGATAAACGGTGTCACTGCAATTCACTTTTATTATTTTTATATAACGTATATAGAGAAAAATCGGACCCTCCCGTGGCGCCGCCCTTGCGAAATTAAAAATTATATTTTTACAGAACCCTTCCCTAGAGTGGTATAATGAACTCCCCAAAGTCTCATGGCTATCGGATGAACGATGCCAAACAAAAATCGACTTTTATTTTTATATACCGTATATAGAAAAAACAAATCGCGCCCTGTCGGGGCGCCACCCCTGCGAATTTGAAATTTTTTTTTCCACAGAAACCTCCCCGGGAATATTCTCAACAACTTCCCAAAGTTTCACGGCGATGTGATGAGAGGTGTAGTAATGCATAAAGGACAGACAGACAGACACACAAACAAACATTGCTTTTATATATATATATATATATATATATATATATATATATATATATATATATATATATATATATATATATATATATATATATATATATACGGTTTTTTACTGATCGGATAGCGATACAAGAATCCGTGATATTTATTTATCTTTAATACAGTGATCCAGGCAAGATATAATGCAATCAAGTAAAAGTATCTGATCTCTCACGTTGAAGTTGAGAGAACTAGTCGCGTCATTTCTTAACAACACAGGCTAGTGAAATCATACATTACGTATTAATACAATTGGTTTCTATTCTAAGTGTAAGCCCTGCTGGGGGGGGGGGGGGATAACTAAAATCTACCCATCTAGGTTTATTTAACTACTGTCCTGTCAGTGCAAGTCCGGCTAAACCCAGACTGGTTAATAACCTTAGCCTAAATAAAAAAAAAAAACTTTAACAATTTATAAATTTTTTTAAATGGAACCAATCAAAATTAGAAAAAAAAGATAAAAAACCACAGATACTAAACAGAACAGACGTTAACGTCACAAAACAATAAAGGCCTACACAAAACAATATACACAAAACACCCAGCCAAGTTGCACAAGCAACATCACTGCAAGCACGAGGTGTCCACACAGAAACTGACCCGATCTACATCTCGCCTCGGGTCAAAAAGAAAGAAATTATCCGAGCGGTCAATTTTTATACTGACCGCTTCGGGCGGAAGGGGTGACCCCCTAGCCGCTGTCCAGTGGACCATTCACGCACAGATTCGCCCTCAATAAGATAATACAATGATAATTCCACTTAATAGAGTGATTAATTAGAGTGTTAAATAGCCTTTTAAGAGGTGGGGGTGCTAATCGAAAGTTTGAGGGGGGTGTAAATCGGAAATTGAAAGTTTGTCCCCGGGAAGGGTCGTTGCGCCTCTGGGGGTGACACCATTAAGTGCCGCACCGGGTGACACCCAACCTCGCTACGCCACTGGTTACAGTTACAATATCCTACAATACACTTTAATACAAGTGTCCCCCCCCCTCCTGCTACGCCTTTGCTTGTATTCTCGAATTAGATAATTTATAATAGTGTTGGGATCTAATAGAAAGAACGGTTCTATTAAAGCTTTAGCCAAAAGCTAATAATGTATTGTAACGCATCAAACAATTCAAGAAAGAAAATTTTACACATTGGAAAGCCATCTTTCTTTTAAAGCTAAGCCCTGATCCATGACCTAAGTTGAAAGTTCAAGCTTCATGCTTACGACCAGCTGTCCTAATATAAGTAGATAATTTAGGCAGTTTCTTCCAGACAGGCAGCACCTCCGAACGAAATGGAATTTATATAGAAAGTGTATACTTTTATTGGTGTCCGCCCCCACCCTCGAAAACAAAATTCTGGAAGAAACACTGAATTTCGATACATTTAGTCCATACACTCCCAGGTCTGTATTCGCCAGTAAAGCCAAGCAGATGGCCCGAGGGTGAGGGTGACCACACGCCGAGTGTGCTGTGCCTGGTTCTAATTGTTTCCATCTCCCCGGCAGGTGGGCATGGGCTACCTGATCAAAGAAACTGGTTATCTGGTGCCTGCTCTCGTCTGCTCTGGCTGTAGCGGTCTCGCCCTGATGGTCACGTGTTGTCTGCCAGAGACGCTGGTCGAGAGACGTCAGCTCAGCTGGTCGCCATGGAAACACATCAAGCAGGTCGTTAAGTTAGCTCCACATCACACAGTTAGCTCCACATCACACAGTTAGCTCCACATCACACAGTTAGCTTCACATCACACAGCTCCACATCACACAGCTCCACATCACACAGTTAGCTCCACATCACACAGCTCCACATCACACAGCTCCACATCACACAGCTCCACATCACACAGTTAGCTCCACATCACACAGTTAGCTCCACATCACACAGTTAGCTCCACATCACACAGTTAGCTTCACATCACACAGCTCCACATCACACAGCTCCACATCACACAGTTAGCTCCACATCACACAGCTCCACATCACACAGCTCCACATCACACAGCTCCACATCACACAACTCCACATCACACAGTTAGCTCCACATCACATAGCTCCACATCACACAGCTCCACATCACACAGCTCAACATCACACAGCTCCACATCACACAACTCCACATCACACAGTTAGATCCACATCACACACCTCCACATCACACAGTTAGCTCCACATCACTCAGTTAGATCCACATCACACAGCTCCACATCACACAGCTCCACATCACACAGCTCCACATCACACAGCTCCACATCACACAGCTCCACATCACACAGCTCCACATCACACAGTTAGCTCCACATTACATAGCTCCACATCACACAGTTAGCTCCACATCACACAGCTCCACATCACACAGCTCCACATCACACAGCTCCACATCACACAGCTCCACATCACACAGTTAGCTCCACATCACACAGCTCCACATCACACAGTTAGCTCCACATCACACAGCTCCACATCACACAGCTCCACATCACACAGCTCCACATCACACAGCTCTACATCACACAGTTAGCTCCACATTACATAGCTCCACATCACACAGTTAGCTCCACATCACACAGTTAGCTCCACATCACACAGCTCCACATTACACAGCTCCACATTACACAGCTCCACATCACACAGTTAGCTCCACATCACACAGTTAGCTCCACATCACACAGCTCCACATCACACAGTTAGCTCCACATCACACAGTTAGCTCCACATCACACAGCTCCACATCACACAGTTAGCTCCACATCACACAGCTCCACATCACACAGTTAGCTCCACATCACACAGCTCCACATCACACAGTTAGCTCCACATTACATAGCTCCACATCACACAGTTAGCTCCACATCACACAGTTAGCTCCACATCACACAGCTCCACATCACACAGCTCCACATCACACAGCTCCACATCACACAGCTCCACATCACACAGTTAGCTCCACATCACACAGCTCCACATCACACAGCTCCACATCACACAGCTCCACATCACAGTTAGCTCCACATCACACAGTTAGCTCCACATCACACAGTTAGCTCCACATCACACAGCTCCACATCACACAGTTAGCTCCACATCACACAGTAAGCTCCACATCACACAGCTCCACATCACACAGCTCAATATCACACAGCTCTACATCACACAGTAAGCTCCACATCACACAGCTCCACATCACACAGCTCCACATCACACAGCTCCACATCACACAGCTCAACATCACACAGCTTCACATCACACAGTTAGCTCCACATCACACAGTTAGATCCACATCACACAGTTAGATCCACATCACACAGCTCCACATCACACAGTTAGCTCCACATCACACAGTTAGCTCCACATCACACAGCTCCACATCACACAGCTCAACATCACACAGCTCCACATCACACAGTTAGCTCCACATCACACAGTTAGATCCAAATCACACAGCTCCACATCACACAGTTAGATCCACATCACACAGCTCCACATCACTCAGTTAGATCCACATCACACAGCTCCACATCACACAGCTCCACATCACACAGCTCCGCATCACACAGCTCCACATCACACAGCTCCACATCACACAGTTAGCTCCACATCACACAGCTCCACATCACACAGTTAGCTCCACATCACACAGTAAGCTCCACATCACACAGCTCCACATCACACAGCTCCATATCACACAGCTCCATATCACACAGCTCCACATCACACAGTTAGCTCCACATCACACAGCTCCACATCACACAGTTAGCTCCACATCACACAGCTCCACATCACACAGCTCCACATCACACAGTTAGCTCCACATCACACAGCTCCACATCACACAGCTCCACATCACACAGTTAGCTCCACATCACACAGCTCTACATCACACAGCTCCACATCACACAGCTCCACATCACACAGTTAGCTCCACATCACACAGCTCCACATCACACAGTTAGCTCCACATCACACAGCTCAACATCACACAGCTCCACATCACACAGCTCCACATCACACAGCTCCACATCACACAGTTAGCTCCACATCACACAGCTCCACATCACACAGTTAGATCCACATCACACAGCTCCACATCACACAGCTCCACATCACACAGCTCCACATCACACAGCTCCACATCACACAGTAAGCTCCACATCACACAGCTCTACATCACACAGTTAGCTCCACATCACACAGCTCCACATCACACAGCTCCACATCACACAGCTCCACATCACACAGCTCCACATCACACAGCTCCACGTCACACAGTAAGCTCCACATCACACAGCTCTACATCACACAGTTAGCTCCACATCACACAGCTCCACATCACACAGCTCCACATCACACAGCTCCACTTCACACAGTTAGCTCCACATCACACAGTTAGCTCCACATCACACAGCTCCACATCACACAGCTCCACATCACACAGCTCCACATCACACAGCTCCACTTCACACAGTTAGCTCCACATCACACAGTTAGCTCCACATCACACAGCTCCACATCACACAGCTCCACATCACACAGTTAGCTCCACATCACACAGTTAGCTCCACATCACACAGCTCCACATCACACAGTTAGCTCCACATCACACAGTTAGCTCCACATCACACAGCTCCACATCACACAGCTCCACATCACACAGTTAGCTCCACATCACATAGCTCCACATCACACAGCTCCACATCACACAGCTCCACTTCACACATGACTCAGCTAATCATTAATTCAGCTTCATTTAATTTAAATTTAATACTCTTTGCCTGCAGACCTTTGGATTTTATTGTTCTGAGGGTCGAAAAAGGCAACAATTTCTGTTTGGACTCGGAGCTTACCTAAGCTTAACTATGACCAACATTGGTAGGCAGAGCGTGGAGACTTTGTATGAGCTGGCCCGGCCTTTGTGTTGGACATCTGTCGATATTGGGATTTACTCCTGTACCAAAATGGTAGGCCAAACCTGATGTATAACATCCTGCTCCCAACTCCTGTCAACTGATTGTATGTCATCGCAACATACTTGCACAAAGAAATCCAATATACAAACGTATATATATATATATATATATATATATATATATACAGACCTGTTTATGTTCGACAGGTTGTCCAAGCGTTGGCAGCGGTCTTGTTCCTTAAAGTCTTGAAGGGTCGTCTGCCACTGGAAGTGACCGGCATGTTGTGTACACTCAGTGCACTCCTTGGCTTCATGATGGAGGCCTTCTCCACCTCCACCCTGTGGATGTACATCTGTAAGTCTCCACCCTGTGGATGTACATCAGTAAGTCTCCACCCTGTGGATGTACATCTGTAAGTCTCCACCCTGTGGATGTACATCAGTAAGTCTCCACCTCCACCCTGTGGATGTACATCTGTAAGTCTCCACCCTGTGGATGTACATCTGTAAGTCTCCACCCTGTGGATGTACATCTGTAAGTCTCCACCTCCGCCCTGTGGATGTACATCTGTAAGTCTCCACCCTGTGGATGTACATCTGTAAGTCTCCACCCTGTGGATGTACATCTGTAAGTCTCCACCCTGTGGATGTACATCAGTAAGTCTCCACCTCCACCCTGTGGATGTACATCTGTAAGTCTCCACCCTGTGGATGTACATCAGTAAGTCTCCACCTCCACCCTGTGGATGTACATCTGTAAGTCTCCACCTCCACCCTGTGGATGTACATCTGTAAGTCTCCACCTCCGCCCTGTGGATGTACATCTGTAAGTCTCCACCCTGTGGATGTACATCTGTAAGTCTCCACCCTGTGGATGTACATCTGTAAGTCTCCATCCTGTGGATGTACATCTGTAAGTCTCCACCCTGTGGATGTACATCTGTAAGTCTCCACCTCCACCCTGTGGATGTACATCTGTAAGTCTCCACCCTGTGGATGTACATCTGTAAGTCTCCACCTCCACCCTGTGGATGTACATCTGTAAGTCTCCATCTCCACCCTGTGGATGTACATCTGTAAGTCTCCACCCTGTGGATGTACATCTGTAAGTCTCCACCCTGTGGATGTACATCTGTAAGTCTCCACCTCCACCCTGTGGATGTACATCTGTAAGTCTCCACCCTGTGGATGTACATCTGTAAGTCTCCACCCTGTGGATGTACATCTGTAAGTCTCCACCCTGTGGATGTACATCTGTAAGTCTCCACCTCCATCCTGTGGATGTACATCTGTAAGTCTCCACCTCCACCCTGTGGATGTACATCTGTAAGTCTCCACCCTATGGATGTACATCTGTAAGTCTCCACCCTGTGGATGTACATCTGTAAGTCTCCACCTCCACCCTGTGGATGTACATCTGTAAGTCTCCACCTCCGCCCTGTGGATGTACATCTGTAAGTCTCCACCCTGTGGATGTACATCTGTAAGTCTCCACCTCCGCCCTGTGGATGTAAATCTGTAAGTCTCCACCTCCACCTGTGGATGTACATCTGTAAGTCTCCACCCTGTGGATGTACATCTGTAAGTCTCCACCCTGTGGATGTACATCTGTAAGTCTCCACCCTGTGGATGTACATCTGTAAGTCTCCACCCACACCCTGTGGATGTAAATCTGTAAGTCTCCACCATGTGGATGTACATCTGTAAGTCTCCACCTCCGCCCTGTGGATGTACATCTGTAAGTCTCCACCTCCCCCCTGTGGATGTACATCTGTAAGTCTCCACCTCCACCCTGTGGATGTACATCTGCAAGTCTCCATCCTGTGGATGTACATCTGTAAGTCTCCACCCTGTGGATGTACATCTGTAAGTCTCCACCTCCACCCTGTGGATGTACATCTGCAAGTCTCCATCCTGTGGATGTACATCTGTAAGTCTCCACCCTGTGGATGTACATCTGTAAGTCTCCACCTCCACCCTGTGGATGTACATCTGTAAGTCTCCACCTCCACCCTGTGGATGTACATCTGTAAGTCTCCACCCTGTGGATGTACATTTGTAAGTCTCCACCTCCACCCTGTGGATGTACATCTGTAAGTGTCCACCTCCACCGTGTGGATGTACATCTGTAAGTCTCCACCCTGTGGATGTACATCTGTAAGTCTCCACCCACACCCTGTGGATGTAAATCTGTAAGTCTCCACCATGTGGATGTACATCTGTAAGTCTCCACCTCCGCCCTGTGGATGTACATCTGTAAGTCTCCACCTCCACCCTGTGGATGTACATCTGTAAGTCTCCACCTCCGCCCTGTGGATGTACATCTGTAAGTCTCCACCCTGTGGATGTACATCTGTAAGTCTCCACCTCCGCCCTGTGGATGTACATCTGTAAGTCTCCACCCTGTGGATGTACATCTGTAAGTCTCCACCCTGTGGATGTACATCTGTAAGTCTCCACCATGTGGATGTACATCTGTAAGTCTCCACCATGTGGATGTACATCTGTAAGTCTCCACCTCCACCCTGTGGATGTACATCTGTAAGTCTCCACCTCCACCCTGTGGATGTACATCTGTAAGTCTCCATCCTGTGGATGTACATCTGTAAGTCTCCACCCTGTGGATGTACATCTGTAAGTCTCCACCATGTGGATGTACATCTGTAAGTCTCCACCTCCACGCTGTGGATGTACATCTGTAAGTCTCCATCCTGTGGATGTACATCTGTAAGTCTCCACCCTGTGGATGTACATCTGTAAGTCTCCACCCTGTGGATGTACATCTGTAAGTCTCCACCTCCACCCTGTGGATGTACATCTGTAAGTCTCCACCCTGTGGATGTACATCTGTAAGTCTCCACCCTGTGGATGTACATCTGTAAGTCTCCATCCTGTGGATGTACATCTGTAAGTCTCCACCCTGTGGATGTACATCTGTAAGTCTCCACCTCCACCCTGTGGATGTACATCTGTAAGTCTCCAAGCGTTGGCAGCGGTCTTGTTCCTTAAAGTCTTGAAGGGTCGTCTGCCACTGGAAGTGACCGGCATGTTGTGTACACTCAGTGCACTCCTTGGCTTCATGATGGAGGCCTTCTCCACCTCCACCCTGTGGATGTACATCTGTAAGTCTCCACCCTGTGGATGTACATCAGTAAGTCTCCACCCTGTGGATGTACATCTGTAAGTCTCCACCCTGTGGATGTACATCAGTAAGTCTCCACCCTGTGGATGTACATCTGTAAGTCTCCACCTCCACCCTGTGGATGTACATCTGCAAGTCTCCATCCTGTGGATGTACATCTGTAAGTCTCCACCCTGTGGATGTTCATCTGTAAGTCTCCACCTCCACCCTGTGGATGTACATCTGTAAGTCTCCACCTCCACCCTGTGGATGTACATCTGTAAGTCTCCACCCTGTGGATGTACATTTTTAAGTCTCCACCTCCACCCTGTGGATGTACATCTGTAAGTGTCCACCTCCACCGTGTGGATGTACATCTGTAAGTCTCCACCCTGTGGATGTACATCTGTAAGTCTCCACCCACACCCTGTGGATGTAAATCTGTAAGTCTCCACCATGTGGATGTACATCTGTAAGTCTCCACCTCCGCCCTGTGGATGTACATCTGTAAGTCTCCACCTCCACCCTGTGGATGTACATCTGTAAGTCTCCACCTCCGCCCTGTGGATGTACATCTGTAAGTCTCCACCCTGTGGATGTACATCTGTAAGTCTCCACCTCCGCCCTGTGGATGTACATCTGTAAGTCTCCACCCTGTGGATGTACATCTGTAAGTCTCCACCCTGTGGATGTACATCTGTAAGTCTCCACCCTGTGGATGTACATCTGTAAGTCTCCACCATGTGGATGTACATCTGTAAGTCTCCACCTCCACCCTGTGGATGTACATCTGTAAGTCTCCACCTCCACCCTGTGGATGTACATCTGTAAGTCTCCATCCTGTGGATGTACATCTGTAAGTCTCCACCCTGTGGATGTACATCTGTAAGTCTCCACCATGTGGATGTACATCTGTAAGTCTCCACCTCCACGCTGTGGATGTACATCTGTAAGTCTCCATCCTGTGGATGTACATCTGTAAGTCTCCACCCTGTGGATGTACATCTGTAAGTCTCCACCCTGTGGATGTACATCTGTAAGTCTCCACCTCCACCCTGTGGATGTACATCTGTAAGTCTCCACCTCCACCCTGTGGATGTACATCTGTAAGTCTCCACCCTGTGGATTGTCCAAGCGTTGGCAGCGGTCTTGTTCCTTAAAGTCTTGAAGGGTCGTCTGCCACTGGAAGTGACCGGCATGTTGTGTACACTCAGTGCACTCCTTGGCTTCATGATGGAGGCCTTCTCCACCTCCACCCTGTGGATGTACATCTGTAAGTCTCCACCCTGTGGATGTACATCAGTAAGTCTCCACCCTGTGGATGTACATCTGTAAGTCTCCACCCTGTGGATGTACATCAGTAAGTCTCCACCCTGTGGATGTACATCAGTAAGTCTCCACCCTGTGGATGTACATCTGTAAGTCTCCACCCTGTGGATGTACATCTGTAAGTCTCCACCCTGTGGATGTACATCTGTAAGTCTCCACCCTGTGGATGTACATCTGTAAGTCTCCACCTCCGCCCTGTGGATGTACATCTGTAAGTCTCCACCCTGTGGATGTACATCTGTAAGTCTCCACCCTGTGGATGTACATCTGTAAGTCTCCACCCTGTGGATGTACATCAGTAAGTCTCCACCTCCACCCTGTGGATGTACATCTGTAAGTCTCCACCCTGTGGATGTACATCTGTAAGTCTCCACCCTGTGGATGTACATCTGTAAGTCTCCACCATGTGGATGTACATCTGTAAATCTCCACCTCCACCCTGTGGATGTACATCTGTAAGTCTCCACCTCCACCCTGTGGATGTACATCTGTAAGTCTCCACCTCCGCCCTGTGGATGTACATCTGTAAGTCTCCACCCTGTGGATGTACATCTGTAAGTCTCCACCCTGTGGATGTACATCTGTAAGTCTCCACCCTGTGGATGTACATCTGTAAGTCTCCACCTCCACCCTGTGGATGTACATCTGTAAGTCTCCACCCTGTGGATGTACATCTGTAAGTCTCCACCTCCACCCTGTGGATGTACATCTGTAAGTCTCCACCTCCACCCTGTGGATGTACATCTGTAAGTCTCCACCCTGTGGATGTACATCTGTAAGTCTCCACCCTGTGGATGTACATCTGTAAGTCTCCACCTCCACCCTGTGGATGTACATCTGTAAGTCTCCACCCTGTGGATGTACATCTGTAAGTCTCCACCCTGTGGATGTACATCTGTAAGTCTCCACCCTGTGGATGTACATCTGTAAGTCTCCACCTCCATCCTGTGGATGTACATCTGTAAGTCTCCACCTCCACCCTGTGGATGTACATCTGTAAGTCTCCACCCTGTGGATGTACATCTGTAAGTCTCCACCCTGTGGATGTACATCTGTAAGTCTCCACCTCCACCCTGTGGATGTACATCTGTAAGTCTCCACCTCCGCCCTGTGGATGTACATCTGTAAGTCTCCACCCTGTGGATGTACATCTGTAAGTCTCCACCTCCGCCCTGTGGATGTAAATCTGTAAGTCTCCACCTCCACCTGTGGATGTACATCTGTAAGTCTCCACCCTGTGGATGTACATCTGTAAGTCTCCACCCTGTGGATGTACATCTGTAAGTCTCCACCCTGTGGATGTACATCTGTAAGTCTCCACCCACACCCTGTGGATGTAAATCTGTAAGTCCCACCATGTGGATGTACATCTGTAAGTCTCCACCTCCGCCCTGTGGATGTACATCTGTAAGTCTCCACCTCCCCCCTGTGGATGTACATCTGTAAGTCTCCACCCTGTGGATGTACATCTGTAAGTCTCCACCTCCACCCTGTGGATGTACATCTGCAAGTCTCCATCCTGTGGATGTACATCTGTAAGTCTCCACCCTGTGGATGTACATCTGTAAGTCTCCACCTCCACCCTGTGGATGTACATCTGTAAGTCTCCACCTCCACCCTGTGGATGTACATCTGTAAGTCTCCACCCTGTGGATGTACATTTGTAAGTCTCCACCTCCACCCTGTGGATGTACATCTGTAAGTGTCCACCTCCACCGTGTGGATGTACATCTGTAAGTCTCCACCCTGTGGATGTACATCTGTAAGTCTCCACCCACACCCTGTGGATGTAAATCTGTAAGTCTCCACCATGTGGATGTACATCTGTAAGTCTCCACCTCCGCCCTGTGGATGTACATCTGTAAGTCTCCACCTCCACCCTGTGGATGTACATCTGTAAGTCTCCACCTCCGCCCTGTGGATGTACATCTGTAAGTCTCCACCCTGTGGATGTACATCTGTAAGTCTCCACCTCCGCCCTGTGGATGTACATCTGTAAGTCTCCACCTCCACATGTGGATGTACATCTGTAAGTCTCCACCCTGTGGATGTACATCTGTAAGTCTCCACCCTGTGGATGTACATCTGTAAGTCTCCACCATGTGGATGTACATCTGTAAGTCTCCACCTCCACCCTGTGGATGTACATCTGTAAGTCTCCACCTCCACCCTGTGGATGTACATCTGTAAGTCTCCATCCTGTGGATGTACATCTGTAAGTCTCCACCCTGTGGATGTACATCTGTAAGTCTCCACCATGTGGATGTACATCTGTAAGTCTCCACCTCCACGCTGTGGATGTACATCTGTAAGTCTCCATCCTGTGGATGTACATCTGTAAGTCTCCATCCTGTGGATGTACATCTGTAAGTCTCCACCCTGTGGATGTACATCTGTAAGTCTCCACCCTGTGGATGTACATCTGTAAGTCTCCACCTCCACCCTGTGGATGTACATCTGTAAGTCTCCACCTCCACCCTGTGGATGTACATCTGTAAGTCTCCACCTCCACCCTGTGGATGTACATCTGTAAGTCTCCACCTCCCCCCTGTGGATGTACATCTGTAAGTCTCCACCCTGTGGATGTACATCTGTAAGTCTCCACCCTGTGGATGTACATCTGTAAGTCTCCACCTCCACCCTGTGGATGTACATCTGTAAGTCTCCACTTCCACCCTGTGGATGTACATCTGTAAGTCTCCACCTCCCCCCTGTGGATGTACATCTGTAAGTCTCCACCCTGTGGATGTACATCTGTAAGTCTCCACCTCCACCCTGTGGATGTACATCTGTAAGTCTCCACCTCCACCCTGTGGATATACATCTGTAAGTCTCCACCTTCGCCCTGTGGATGTACATCTGTAAGTCTCCACCTCCACCCTGTGGATGTACATCTGTAAGTCTCCACCTTCGCCCTGTGGATGTACATCTGTAAGTCTCCACCTCCGCCCTGTGGATGTACATCTGTAAGTCTCCACCCTGTGGATGTACATCTGTAAGTCTCCACCTTCACCCTGTGGATGTACATCTGTAAGTCTCCACCTCCACCCTGTGGATGTACATCTGTAAGTCTCCACCCTGTGGATGTACATCTGTAAGTCTCCATCTCTGCCCATGACTTCTCATGATCTCGTCTAACACATCTCTCGTGGTGTCTATTGTCTAACACATCTCTCGTGGTGTCTATTGTCTAACACATCTCTCGTGGTGTCTATTGTCTAACACATCTCTCGTGGTGTCTATTGTCTAACACATCTCTCGTGGTGTCTATTGTCTAACACATCTCTCGTGGTGTCTATTGTCTAACACATCTCTCGTGGTGTCTATTGTCTAACACATCTCTCGTGGTGTCTATTGTCTAACACATCTCTCGTGGTGTCTATTGTCTAACACATCTCTCGTGGTGTCTATTGTCTAACACATCTCTCGTGGTGTTTATTGTCTAACACATCTCTCGTGGTGTCTATTGTCTAACACATCTCTCGTGGTGTCTATTGTCTAACACATCTCTCGTGGTGTCTATTGTCTAAGACATCTCTCGTGGTGTTTATTGTCTAACACATCTCTCGTGGTGTCTATTGTCTAACTCATCTCTCGTGGTGTCTATTGTCTAACATATCTCTCGTGGTGTCTATTGTCTAACACATCTCTCGTGGTGTCTATTGTCTAACACATCTCTCGTGGTGTCTATTGTCTAACACATCTCTCGTGGTGTCTATTGTCTAACACATCTCTCGTGGTGTCTATTGTCTAACATATCTCTCGTGGTGTCTATTGTCTAACACATCTCTCGTGGTGTCTATTGTCTAACACATCTCTCGTGGTGTCTCTTGTCTAACACATCTCTCGTGGTGTCTATTGTCTAACACATCTCTCGTGGTGTCTATTTTCTAACACATCTCTCGTGGTGTCTATTGTCTAACACATCTCTCGTGGTGTTTATTGTCTAACACATCTCTCGTGGTGTCTATTGTCTAACACATCTCTCGTGGTGTCTATTGTCTAACACATCTCTCGTGGTGTCTATTGTCTAACACATCTCTCGTGGTGTCTATTGTCTAACACATCTCTCGTGGTGTCTATTGTCTAACACATCTCTCGTGGTGTCTATTGTCTAACACATCTCTCGTGGTGTCTATTGTCTAACACATCTCTCGTGGTGGCTATTGTCTAACACACCTCTCGTGGTGTCTATTGTCTAACACATCTCTCGTGGTGTCTATTGTCTAACACATCTCTCGTGGTGTCTTCCAGCCGCAGCTGGTGGTCTGCTGTACCTGGCTGCCATCCCTATACCGCGAGCTCTAGTGTCGACCCTCGTCAACACGACTCAACTAGGTAAACATAGACCGTTATATCGTCTCTTGATGTGTTGATGTGTGCTGGTGTGTTGTCTCTTGATGTGTGCTGGTGTGTTGTCTCTTGATGTGTTGATGTGTGCTGGTGTGTTGTGTCTACATGTGTTGATCAGGGTTGGTGTGTTGCCACAGGTGCCCTATTCTCAAGTCTCGCCACGTTGGAGGTAGTGTCCAACATGAGCGTGTCGCTGCTGTACACCGTCATCTACAACAACACACTCTCCAGCTTTAGAGGCGCCGTCTTCACCGTCATGGCGGCTCTATGTCTCGTCTGCTTCGTCATGCTTGGGTTCGTACAACTCTCTGTCCTCTAGTTATATTTAGTCGAAATGTTGACAACTGACCAGACGCTGAAAATCTTTCAGGCTTTTCTTGTGGTGTAAACCTAGACCAAGCAACAAGTCCTTGGATGATTCACCACACACAAGTCACTTAATCAGCGTAGAAGCAGACGAGAGATCGCCTCTGTTGAAGAATTAAAGACAGAATTGCATGGATATTAAATGGTAGCTGCCGAAATTATCTTCAAGAGAAAACAATACTAAAATATAAATAAATATGTATATATACAAATATAGGCATGTATATATATATATATATATATATATATATATATATATATATATATATATATATATATATATATATATACATATATATATATATATATATATATATATATATATATATATATATATATATATATATATATATATATATATATATATAGTTCAAATGATCTCAGACAAAATAAATATCCCAGACAGAATATCTCACAGGAGAATATTTATAGTATTTAGCATGATTTTAGTAGATATTAAATTAATTTTTTTACCCATTATTATTGTGAGAAATACTAAATGAATGAGTTAAATTAAATTTTTTCAAAAGTATTATTTTTATATAGGCCTATATATATATATATATATATATATATATATATATATATATATATATATATATATATATAGGCCTATATATGTATATATATATATATATATATATATATATATATATATATATATATATATATATATATATATATGTGTGTGTGTGTGTGTATGTGTGTGTTTGTGTGCATTGCGGTCAAAGCCTCAATGCAGGTTAAATTATCCTGGTCTTTGTAAAATATTCCTTGGCTCGTGTTCAAAATAAACTTTGACATGACAACTTTTGTTCACAGCGATTCATTTTATCTTAAGGTATGAAAAGTTCACAAATACCATCCAGCAAGTTGTTTCCCTAACCATCCCCTCCCCCCCAAAAAAAAGAACACACCAACAAGAGGTCTACCCCCCACCCCCTTTCACCCCAACACACACCAGCTAGAAGTCTATTTTTAACTGATGCTGGGCACGTGAAATAGTTTTTTTAAATGTTGACATTGTTCACTGAGGTAAGGCAGGCTGTGTAGAATTGCTACATTAGCTAGCTAAACTGTGGCTACATCAGCTAGCTAAACTGTGGCTACATCAGTTAGCTAAACTGTGGCTACATCATCTAGCTAAACTGTTGCTACTTCAGTTAGCTAAACTTTGGCTACATCAGCTGGCTAAACTGTGGCTACATCAGCTAGCTAAACTGTTTCTACATCAGCTAGAGTTAGCTAAACTGTGGCTACATCAGATAGAGCTAGCTAAATTGTGGCTACATCAGCTAGAACTAGCTAAACTGTGGCTACATCAGCTAGAGTTAGCTAAACTGTGGCTGCATCAGATAGAGCTAGCTAAACTGTGGCTACATCAGCTAGAACTAGCTAAACTGTGGCTACATCAGCTAGAGTTAGCTAAACTGTGGCTACATCAGCTAGAACTAGCTAAACTGTGGCTACATCAGCTAGAACTAGCTAAACTGTGGCTACATCAGCTAGAGTTAGCTAAACTGTGGCTACATCAGCAATCCAAATATGTGACTATATGTACTGTCAACATCTACTTCTATTGGCTTGAATGTCTGTCACTTATTCTCATAGAGTTGAACTTTGTCAACTGGTATTGTAATCTCCAAGTGTGATTTATGCTGGCATTTATACGGCTGATTGTCATCCATTTGAAATCCGTTTAGATCTGATGCATGCTACTTTATGGGGCGTGAAAATGTAATGCTCAACGCGTTGATAGAAGAACCGTCTTCCTCACGCTCATAAAAATAAACACAGGTAAAGGAGGATGGATTAGGGGGGGGGGGGGGGGTCACGCACGCGAGGATACAACCAATCACAGTAGCAACTATTTATTCCTCCCCCCCCCCCCACACTCACGATTTATCTCCCACCCCCACACACAGTTGGAGTGAAACTCTTTACCTGCAACTTTTGAAATGTCGTGCTCTGCAAGCAGACAGGGGTGAGTTTTTGTGTTGTGTGGTGTGTGTTGTGTGTGGTTTGGCTTGTTTGTGTGGTTTGTGTGGTGTGTACATGCTACATGGTGTAGTGAGTTTCTCTGTGATAGACACGACATTGGTGCCTTTCTATGTGATAGATACGACATTGGTGATTTTTTTTTGGTGATATATAGATACGACATTGGTGAGTTTGATAGACACGACATTGGTGAGTTTGATAGACACGACATCGGTGAGTTTGATAGACACGACATTGGTGAGTTTGATAGACACGACATTGGTGAGTTTGATAGACACGACATTGGTGAGTTTGATAGACACGACATTGGTGAGTTTGATAGGCACGACATTGGTGAGTTTGATAGACACGACATTGGTGAGTTTGATAGACACGACATTGGTGAGTTTGATAGACACGACATTGGTGAGTTTGATAGACACGACAATGATGAGTTTCTCTGCCAGTTTCACATTGGAAAGCTCAAGATATCTCTGCAGGCTCTACAGTGCCAGATACAACAATTTCATGGAACGACAAGCGTCTCCGTCAAACTATCAATGTGCCATTTCTCAGCCATCCGTAGCTCAGTGTGACTCATACGTGACCTAACAAACATAGACAACATGACCTAACACACAGAGACAACATGACCTAACACATATCACACACATGAGGTTCACGCTAACGATGTAACTATATTTGGGCCCACATAATAAGAGGCGTTTTTTAAAGGTTGTGTAAGCACATCTGGTTGTGTGTAGTGTGAGCACATCTGGTTGTGTGAGCACATCTGGTTGTGTGTAGTGTGAGCACATCTGGTTGTGTGTAGTGTGAGCACATCTGGTTGTGTAAGCACATCTGGTTGTGTGAGCACATCTGGTTGTGTGAGCACATCTGGTTGTGTGTAGTGTAAGCACATCTGGTTGTGTGAGCACATCTGGTTGTGTGAGCACATGTGGTTGTGTGTAGTGTGAGCACATCTGGTTGTGTGAGCACATCTGGTTGTGTGAGCACATCTGGTTGTGTGTAGTGTAAGCACATCTGGTTGTGTGAGCACATCTGGTTGTGTTAGCACATCTGGTTGTGTGTAGTGTAAGCACATCTGGTTGTGTGTAGTGTAAGCACATCTGGTTGTGTAAGCACATCTGGTTGTGTGAGCACATCTGGTTGTGTGAGCACATCTGGTTGTGTGAGCACATCTGGTTGTGTTTAGTGTTTTTTATTGGTGTTTTGATTTGGTTTGTTGTTGTGGCTGTTTTGTTTTTTTGTCTTGTATGGTTTTTTTTTTTTGTTGTTGTTGTTGTTAGTTTGTTTGGTTTTTAAAACATCTGGTTGTGTGAGCACATCTGGTTGTGTGAGTACATCTGGTTGTGTGTAGTGTAAGCACATCTGGTTGTGTGTAGTGTAAGCACATCTGGTTGTGTGAGCACATCTGGTTGTGTGAGCACATCTGGTTGTGTGAGCACATCTGGTTGTGTGAGCACATGTGGTTGTGTGAGCACATCTGGTTGTGTGTAAAGTAAGCACATCTGGTTGTGTGTAGTGTAAGCACATCGAGTTGTGTGAGCACATCTGGTTGTGTGAGCACATCTGGTTGTGTGAGCACATCTGGTTGTGTGTAGTGTAAGCACATCTGGTTGTGTGAGCACATGTGGTTGTGTGAGCACATCTGGTTGTGTGAGCACATGTGGTTGTGTAAGCAAATCTGGTTGTGTGTAGTGTAAGCACATCTAGTTGTGTGTAGTGTAAGCACATCTGGTTGTGTGAGCACATGTGGTTGTGTGAGCACATCTGGTTGTGTGAGCACATGTGGTTGTGTGTAGTTTGAGCACATCTGGTTGTGTGAGCACATCTGGTTGTGTGTAGTATAAGCACATCTGGTTGTGTGAGGTGTAAGCACATCTGGTTGTGTGAGCACATGTGGTTGTGTGAGCACATCTGGTTGTGTGAGCACATCTGGTTGTGTGTAGTGTAAGCACATCTGGTTGTGTGAGCACATGTGGTTGATTGAGTACATCTGGTTGTGTGAGCACATGTGGTTGTGTGAGCACATCTGGTTGTGTGAGCACATCAGGTTGTGTGAGCACATCAGGTTGTGTGTAGTGTAAGCACATCTGGTAATGTAAGCACATCTGGTTGTGTGGGCACATGTGGTTGTGTATAGTTTGAGCACATCTGGTTGTGTTAGCACATCTGGTTGTGTGAGCACATCTGGTTGTGTGAGCACATCTGGTTGTGTGTAGTGTAAGCATCTGTGGTTGTGTGAGCACATGTGGTTGTGTGTAGTTTGAGCACATCTGGTTGTGTGAGCACATCTGGTTGTGTGAGCACATCTGCTTGTGTGAGCACATCTGGTTGTGTGAGCACATGTGGTTGTGTAAGCACATCTGGTTGTGTGAGCACATCTGGTTGTGTGAGCACATCTGGTTGTGTGTAGTGTAAGCACATCTGGTTGTGTGAGCACATCTGGTTGTGTGTAGTGTAAGCACATCTGGTTGTGTGAGCACATCTGGTTGTGTGTAGTGTAAGCACATGTGGTTGTGTGAGCACATCTGGTTGTGTGTAGTGTAAGCACATCTGGTTGTGTAAGCACATCTGTTTGTGTGTAGTGTAAGCACATCTGGTTGTATAAGCACATCTGGTTGTGTGAACACATCTGGTTGTGTGTAGTGTGAGCACATCTGGTTGTGTGTAGTGTAAGCACATCTGGTTGTGTGAGCACATGTGGTTGTGTGAGCACATCTGGTTGTGTGTAGTGTAAGCACATCTGGTTGTGTGAGCACATCTGGTTGTGTGTAGTGTAAGCACATCTGGTTGTGTGAGCACATCTGGTTGTGTGAGCACATCTGGTTGTGTGTAGTGTAAGCACATCTGGTTGTGTGAGCACATCTGGTTGTGTGTAGTGTAAGCACATCTGGTTGTGTGAGCACATCTGGTTGTGTGTAGTGTAAGCACATGTGGTTGTGTGAGCACATCTGGTTGTGTGTAGTGTAAGCACATGTGGTTGTGTGAGCACATCTGGTTGTGTGTAGTGTAAGCACATCTGGTTGTGTAAGCACATCTGTTTGTGTGTAGTGTAAGCACATCTGGTTGTATAAGCACATCTGGTTGTGTGAACACATCTGGTTGTGTGTAGTGTGAGCACATCTGGTTGTGTGTAGTGTAAGCACATCTGGTTGTGTGAGCACATCTGGTTGTGTGTAGTGTAAGCACATCTGGTTGTGTGTAGTGTAAGCACATCTGGTTGTGTGTAGTGTAAGCACATCTGGTTGTGTGAGCACATGTGGTTGTGTGAGCACATCTGGTTGTGTGTAGTGTAAGCACATCTGGTTGTGTGAGCACATCTGGTTGTGTGTAGTGTAAGCACATCTGGTTGTGTGTAGTGTAAGCACATCTGGTTGTGTAAGCACATCTGGTTGTGTGAGCACATCTGGTTGTGTTTAGTGTAAGCACATCTGGTTGTGTGAGCACATCTGGTTGTGTGAGCACATCTGGTTGTGTGTAGTGTAAGCAAATCTGGTTGTGTGAGCACATGTGGTTGTGTGTAGTTTGAGCACATCTGGTTGTGTGAGCACATCTGGTTGTGTGTAGTGTAAGCACATCTGGTTGTGTGTAGTGTAAGCACATCTGGTTGTGTGAGCACATCTGGTTGTGTGAGCACATCTGGTTGTGTGTAGTGTAAGCAAATCTGGTTGTGTGTAGTGTAAGCACATCTGGTTGTGTGAGGACATCTGGTTGTGTGTAGTGTAAGCACATCTGGTTGTGTGAGCACATCTGGTTGTGTGAGCACATCTGGTTGTGTGTAGTGTAAGCAAATCTGGTTGTGTGTAGTGTAAGCACATCTGGTTGTGTGTAGTGTAAGCACATCTGGTTGTGTGAGCACATCTGGTTGTGTGAGCACATCTGGTTGTGTGTAGTGTAAGCACATCTGGTTGTGTGTAGTGTAAGCACAAGTGGTTGTGTGAGCACATCTGGTTTTGTGAGCACATCTGGTTGTGTGTAGTGTAAGCAAATCTGGTTGTGTGTAGTGTAAGCACATCTGGTTGTGTGTAGTGTAAGCACATCTGGTTGTGTGAGCACATCTGGTTGTGTGAGCACATCTGGTTGTGTGAGCACATGTGATTGTGTGAGCACATCTGGTTGTGTGAGCACATCTGGTTGTGTGTAGTGTAAGCACATCTGGTTGTGTGTAGTGTAAGCACATCGAGTTGTGTGAGCACATCTGGTTGTGTGAGCACATCTGGTTGTGTGTAGTGTGAGCACATCTGGTTGTGTGTAGTGTAAGCACATCTGGTTGTGTGAGCACATGTGGTTGTGTGAGCACATCTGGTTGTGTGAGCACATGTGGTTGTGTGTAGTTTGAGCACATCTGGTTGTGTGAGCACATCTGGTAGTGTAAGCAAATCTGGTTGTGTGTAGTGTAAGCACATCTGGTTGTGTGTAGTGTAAGCACATCTGGTTGTGTGAGCACATGTGGTTGTGTGAGCACATCTGGTTGTGTGAGCACATCTGGTTGTGTGTAGTGTAAGCACATCTGGTTGTGTGTAGTGTAAGCACATCTGGTTGTGTGAGCACATCTGGTTGTGTGTAGTGTGAGCACATCTGGTTGTGTGTAGTGTAAGCACATCTGGTTGTGTGAGCACATCTGGTTGTGTGAGCACATCTGCTTGTGTGAGCACATCTGGTTGTGTGTAGTGTAAGCACATCTGGTTGTGTGAGCACATGTGGTTGTGTGAGCACATCTGGTTGTGTGTAGTGTAAGCACATCTGGTTGTGTGAGCACATCTGGTTGTGTGTAGTGTAAGCACATCTGGTTGTTTGAGCACATGTGGTTGTGTGAGCACATCTGGTTGTGTGTAGTGTAAGCACATCTGGTTGTGTGAGCACATCTGGTTGTGTGTAGTGTAAGCACATGTGATTGTGTGAGCACATCAGGTTGTGTGTAGTGTAAGCACATCTGGTTGTGTAAGCACATCTGGTCGTGTGAGCACATCTGGTTGTGTGAGCACATCTGGTTGTGTGTAGTGTAAGCACATCTGGTTGTGTGTAGTGTAAGCACATCTGGTTGTGTAAGCACATCTGGTCGTGTGAGCACATCTGGTTGTGTGAGCACATCTGGTTGTGTGAGCACATCTGGTTGTGTGAGCACATCTGGTTGTGTGTAGTGTAAGCACATCTGGTTGTGTGAGCACATGTGGTTGTGTGAGCACATCTGGTTGTGTAAGCACATCTGGTTGTGTGTAGTGTAAGCACATCTGGTTGTGTGTATTGTAAGCACATCTTGTGATGTATAGTGAGCGCACATCTGACGTAAAGTTTAGACAAGTAATCTATAAACCGTGGTGAGACAATTACTCGGTAACTCTGTTGGCATTATTGCCCTCGTTAGTGGCAGGTAAAGACAAGATCTGACAACTCGGGTTTTGTTCTCAGTCGGCTGTAGAGGGTTGGTTGTAGAGGGTTGGTTGTAGGGGGTTGGTTGTAGGGGGTTGGTTGTAGGGGGTTGGTTGTAGGGGGTTGGTTGTAGGGGGTTCGTTGTAGGGGGTTGGTTGTATAGGGTTGGTTATATAGGGTTGGTTGTATAGGGTTGGTTGTATAGGGTTGGTTGTATAGCGTTGGTTGTATAGGTTGGTTGTATAGGGTTGGTTGTATAGGGTTGGTTGTATAGGGTTGGTTGTATAGGGTTGGTTGTATAGGGTTGGTTGTAGGGGGTTGGTTGTAGGGGGTTCGTTGTAGGGGGTTGGTTGTATAGGGTTGGTTATATAGGGTTGGTTGTATAGGGTTGGTTGTATAGGGTTGGTTGTATAGCGTTGGTTGTATAGGTTGGTTGTATAGGGTTGGTTGTATAGGGTTGGTTGTATAGGGTTGGTTGTATAGGGTTGGTTGTATAGGGTTGGTTATATAGGGTTGGTTGTATAGGGTTGGTTGTATAGGGTTGGTTGTATAGGGTTGGTTGTATAGGTTGGTTGTATAGGGTTGGTTGTATAGGGTTGGTTGTAGGGGGTTGGTTGTATAGGGTTGGTTGTATAGCGTTGGTTGTATAGGGTTGGTTGTATAGGGTTGGTTGTAGGGGGTTGGTTGTATAGGGTTGGTTGTATAGGGTTGGTTATATAGGGTTGGTTGTATAGGGTTGGTTGTATAGGGTTGGTTGTATAGGGTTGGTTGTATAGGTTGGTTGTATAGGGTTGGTTGTATAGGGTTGGTTGTATAGGGTTGGTTGTATAGGGTTGGTTGTATAGGGTTGGTTATATAGGGTTGGTTGTATAGGGTTGGTTGTATAGGGTTGGTTGTATAGGGTTGGTTGTATAGGTTGGTTGTATAGGGTTGGTTGTATAGGGTTGGTTGTATAGGGTTGGTTGTAGGGGGTTGGTTGTAGGGGGTTGGTTGTAGGGGGTTGGTTGTATAGGGTTGGTTGTATAGGGTTGGTTGTATAGGGTTGGTTGTATAGGGTTGGTTGTATAGGGTTGGTTATATAGGGTTGGTTGTATAGGGTTGGTTGTATAGGGTTGGTTGTATAGGGTTTGTTGTATAGGGTGGTTGTATAGGGTTGGTTGTAGGGGGTTGGTTGTAGGGGGTTGGTTGTAGGGGGTTGGTTGTATAGGGTTGGTTGTATAGGGTTGGTTGTATAGGGTTGGTTGTATAGGGTTGGTTGTATAGGGTTGGTTGTATAGGGTTGGTTGTAGGGGGTTGGTTGTAGGGGGTTGGTTGTAGGGGGTTGGTTGTAGGGGGTTGGTTGTAGGGGGTTGGTTGTAGGGGGTTGGTTGTAGGGGGTTGGTTGTAGGGGGTTCGTTGTATAGGGTTGGTTGTATAGGGTTGGTTGTATAGCGTTGGTTGTATAGCGTTGGTTGTATAGGGTTGGTTGTATAGCGTTCGTTGTATAGCGTTCGTTGAATAGGGTTGGTTGTATAGGGTTGGTTGTATAGCGTTGGTTGTATAGCGTTGGTTGTATAGGGTTGGTTGTATAGCGTTGGTTGTATAGCGTTGGTTGTATAGGGTTGGTTGTATAGGGTTGGTTGTATAGCGTTGGTTGTATAGGGTTGGTTGTATAGCGTTGGTTGTATAGGGTTGGATAAGTGTACAATGTTGGACGTACGATTATAGGAAAAAAGTCACAGGAAAAAAACAGGAAAAAGCACAGAAAAAGTCACAGGAAAAAAACAGGAAAAAACACAGAAAAAGTCACAGGAAAAATGTCACAGGAAAAAAACAGGAAAAAACACAGAAAAAGTCACAGGAAAAATGTCACAGGAAAATTGTCACAGAAAAAAAGCCACAAGAAAAAAAGTCACAGGAAAAATGTCAAAAGAAAAAAAGTCAAAGGAAAAAAGTCACAATTATATGTTTGCATGGAATTATTTAATACTTTTATGTGTTAAATATTAGGCGCGTGCAAATCAACTGAGATTAATTAACTGTAATGTATTGTGCGTAGTTTGTATATGTATAGTAATATTTATAGCAAGCATAAGCATATTATTATGAAATGTGTAGGTTTTAATTCCGCTATAAATATACTATTTAATGAAATTTAATAGAATGGTCCAGCCTTTTCGTTTTTCATCGTGTCTTTTAAATTAGCGTGAAATGGCATAAAGACCTTGCTAATCTGACTTGCTGCCCTCAACTCACCGCAACAATAGTTCAACCACCTATTCTTCCCACATTTATCACGCCCATTACGTAACATAGCATAAGATCAATACAGAAAGCCGACACGGTACAATGGCTGGCTTTGACGCAAAACGTCAACAAGGAGAAGCCGACCACGGAATGGCCAACGGCAAAAACATTTGTGCAAAACACAATGATGTGCCAAAAAAATTTTGTAATTAATTTTTCTACCGCGTATTTAACTAAATACGTAATAAAAGTTGAGGTTGCTGTGTAAATTAAATTATATTATTTTACGTATTATTGTTATAATTCATAATGCTTTTACGTTTATAAATATGGTACCAAAACAAAAACAACCTACACCAATAAACACCCACAATTTTCAATTCTAAACAATTGCATGAAAATATGTTTTAAAAGATTTTGTGACTTTTTTTCTGTGACTTTTTTTCCGATAAAATTTTTCTATTTTGACTTTTTTCCTGTAACTTTTCCGTTCACCGGGTTGAAGATATTGCTTGTAAACTATTGAAATATGGACCAGCAGGTAGCGTCTCTAAAAATGGTCGGAACAGATTTCATCCAGTGGGTAGTGTTAGAATGTGAATAGAATGTATCAGTCTGGGGTAGGGGTCATGAGGGTTGTGTTTTCTGCTACGGGGGTCATGGATGGTTGTAGGGTTGTATTTTCAGCAGAGTTCTATTTTTTGCAATTATTTGCAGCCCAAGAGGTTGGCTGGTGATTTGAAGAGTTGCGTCAGACCGTGGAGCATCAAGACATGAGTCCCCTGTACACCGTTCTTCTCTGCTGCAGCCTGGCTGCTCCTCTCACACAGGTAAACTGCTACAGCCCGGCTCCCATCCACCTCACGCAGGCACCCCCCCCCCCCACACACACACACCAATGTGCCAACCCTAACTGGCGGCTTTTAATAATTCAAATATCTGGTCAAACATTCAGTGGTGATGTTGTAGAGGTGGTGGTGGTGTAGAGGTGGTGGTGGTGTAGGGGTTGTGGTGTAGAGGTGGTTGTGGTGTAGGGGTTGTGGTGTAGGGGTGGTATGGTGTAGGGGTGGTGGTGGTGTAGGGGGTGGTGGTGGTGAAGAGGCAGTGTTGGTGTAGAGGTGGTGTTGGTGTAGAGGTGGTGATGGTGTAGGGGTGGTGGTGGCGTAGAGGTGGTGGTGGTGTGGAGGTGGTGGTGTAGAGGTGGTGTTGGTGTAGTGGTGGTGATGATGTATGGGTGGTGGTGGTGTAGAGGTGGTGATGGTGTAGGGGTGGTGTTGGTGTAGAGGTGGTGTTGGTGTAGAGGTGGTGGTGGTGTAGAGGTAGTGATGGTGTAGAGGTGGTGGTGGTGTAGAGGTAGTGATGGTGTAGAGGTAGTGATGGTGTAGAGGTGGTGGTGGTGTAGAGGTGGTGGTGGTGTAGGGGGTGGTGGTGTAGAGGTAGTGATGGTGTAGAGGTGGTGGTGTAGAGTTGGTGGTGATGTAAGGGTGGTGGTGTAGAGGTGGTGATGTAAGGGTGGTGGTGGTGTAGAGTATTGGAAGAATCAATAAGTTTTATAAAATTTATTGCACAAAATGCACATTACTAAATATTTTCATTGTTTGCACATTTTAGGGTAAAAAGATCACAGTTTCATCCATTCTGGTAGGTCTTCAACATATCGTTTTGTAGTTGAGTAGCACCATATGTCTGTTGTAGTTGACTAGCAGTACATGTCTAAATGACTAGCACCACATGTCTAAATGACTAGCACCACATGTCTAAATGACTAGCACCACATGTCTAAATGACTAGCACCACATGTCTAAATGACTAGCACCACATGTCTAAATGACTAGCACCACATGTCTAAATGACTAGCACCACATGTCTAAATGACTAGCACCACATGTCTAAATGACTAGCACCACATGTCTAAATGACTAGCACTACATGTCTAAATGACTAGCACCACATGTCTAAATGACTAGCACCACATGTCTAAATGACTAGCACTACATGTCTAAATGACTAGCACTACATGTCTAAATGACTAGCACCACATGTCTAAATGACTAGCACCACATGTCTAAATGACTAGCACCACATGTCTAAATGACTAGCACCATATTCTGTTGTAGTTGACTAGCACTACATGTCTAAATGACTAGCACTACATGTCTAAATGACAAGCACCACATGTCTAAATGACTAGCACTACATGTCTAAATGACTAGCACCACATGTCTAAATGACTAGCACCACATGTCTAAATGACTAGCACCACATGTCTAAATGACTAGCACCACATGTCTAAATGACTAGCACCACATGTCTAAATGACTAGCACCACATGTCTAAATGACTAGCACCACATGTCTAAATGACTAGCACCACATGTCTAAATGACTAGCACCACATGTCTAAATGACTAGCACCAAACGTCTATTGTAGGTGACGCCGTTCCTGATGCAGGACGGAGGGACACCGGCAAACGGCAGCCAAGTGCCGGTCTACAAGGGCTACATCTGGGACCTGCTGGAGCACATCTTCAAACAGATGAACCGGGAGTTCAGCCTCAAGGTCTACTCCAACATCAGCTACGGTCACGTGACTTCAAACGGCACGTGGGAGGGTCTCATTGGTGATGTGGTTAACAAGGTCGGCTTATACTCTAAATAGGGCTAATTAGGTAGATAATTAAATAAAGGAACTGGTAAATGAAAAAGGTTGTGACTCTTGTCCAGATATCGGACCTGGCAGTTGGGCCACTGACAGAGACGTCACGACGTCGCGAGGTGGTCGAGTTCTCCACGCCGTTCATGAACTTTGGCCCCGTGATCATCCTACAGAAACCTGAGACCAAAATCATGTCGCTAGAGGAGCGGCTACAGAGGCTCTTTCTTCCTCTCTCTCAGAGGTAGGGTGGGCAGGTGGGCAGGTGGGTAGGTGGGTAGGTGGGCAGGTGGACAGGTGGGTAGGTGGGCAGGTGGGTCGGTGGGTCGGCAGGTGGGTAGGTGGGTAGGTGGGCAGGTGGGTAGGTGGGCAGGTGGGTAGGTGAGCAGGTGGGTAGGTGAGCAGGTGGGTAGGTGGGTAGGTGGGTCGGTGGGCAGGCGGACAGGTGGGCAGGTGGGCAGGCGGACAGGTGGGCAGGTGAGTAGGTGGGCAGGTGGGTAAGTGGGCAGGTGGGTAGGTGGGCAGGTGGGTAGGTGGGCAGGTGGGTAGGTGAGCAGGTGGGCAGGCGGACAGGTGGGCAGGTGAGTAGGTGGGCAGGTGGGTAAGTGGGCAGGTGGGTTGGTGGGCAGGTGGGTAGGTGTGCAGGTGGGTAGGTGAGTATGTGGGCAGGTGAGTCACTTTCCGAAATGAAAGCTACTTTTTGAATGATTTTGTTTGCGAGATTGGTTGAACTGGTTTGCCAGTTTGGCTAAACACGTTTGCCAGGTTTGTTAAAAAAAAAAAAACCTTCCATGGTCTATGTTCCAGCGTGTGGATGATGTCTGGCATCGCCTGGCTGGTGACTAGCATCGTCCTGTACATCATCTGTCACGCCGACCCGTATGACTGGAGGCACCTGATGAAAGACAAGCTGGCCACTCTGCGGGAAGGAGAGTCTTTCACATGTTCGAATGCATTTTGGTTCACCACTAGCACACTCTTCTGGCAAGGTCAGGCCTTTTTTATTCCCGGCTTTCTAGCCTAAGTATAGAAATGTTGGTCAGTTTATGTTGGTCTATCAAACTGTTGGTCACTCAATTTTGGCCAGACATATTTTGGCTAGTCTATCACATTATATCACAGTTATATTCTACTCTTCCAGGCTAAGCTTTAGCCAGTCTATGACATTGTTGCAGTTATATTCTGCTCTACCAGGCTATGTGCGGTCACCCCGTTCCCTGGCAGGCCGGGTTGTCGTGACCTTCTGGTGGTTCTACGTCATCATCTTCGTGGTGCTGTACATCTCCAGCATGACCAACTACCTGCGTGAGTCCTCCATGCCCGGGGTCAAGGAGAACCATCTAGACATTCAGGTCAGTACATGCAGTGGTGTAGGTCGGGGTCAAGGAGAACCATCTAGACATTCAGGTCAGTACATGCAGTGGTGTAGGTCGGGGTCAAGGAGAACCATCTAGACATTCAGGTCAGTACATGCAGTGGTGTAGGTCGGGGTCAAGGAGAACCATCTAGACATTCAGGTCAGTACATGCAGTGGTGTAGGTCGGGGTCAAGGAGAACCATCTAGACATTCAGGTCAGTACATGCAGTGGTGTAGGTCGGGGTCAAGGAGAACCATCTAGACATTCAGGTCAGTACATGCAGTGGTGTAGGTCGGGGTCAAGGAGAACCATCTAGACATTCAGGTCAGTACATGCAGTGGTGTAGGTCGGGGTCAAGGAGAACCATCTAGACATTCAGGTCAGTACATGCAGTGGTGTAGGTCGGGGTCAAGGAGAACCATCTAGACATTCAGGTCAGTACATGCAGTGGTGTAGGTCGGGGTCAAGGAGAACCATCTAGACATTCAGGTCAGTACATGCAGTGGTGTAGGTCGGGGTCAAGGAGAACCATCTAGACATTCAGGTCAGTACATGCAGTGGTGTAGGTCGGGGTCAAGGAGAACCATCTAGACATTCAGGTCAGTACATGCAGTGGTGTAGGTCGGGGTCAAGGAGAACCATCTAGACATTCAGGTCAGTACATGCAGTGGTGTAGGTCGGGGTCAAGGAGAACCATCTAGACATTCAGGTCAGTACATGCAGTGGTGTAGGTCGGGGTCAAGGAGAACCATCTAGACATTCAGGTCAGTACATGCAGTGGTGTAGGTCGGGGTCAAGGAGAACCATCTAGACATTCAGGTCAGTACATGCAGTGGTGTAGGTCGGGGTCAAGGAGAACCATCTAGACATTCAGGTCAGTACATGCAGTGGTGTAGGTCGGGGTCAAGGAGAACCATCTAGACATTCAGGTCAGTACATGCAGTGGTGTAGGTCGGGGTCAAGGAGAACCATCTAGACATTCAGGTCAGTACATGCAGTGGTGTAGGTCGGGGTCAAGGAGAACCATCTAGACATTCAGGTCAGTACATGCAGTGGTGTAGGTCGGGGTCAAGGAGAACCATCTAGACATTCAGGTCAGTACATGCAGTGGTGTAGGTCGGGGTCAAGGAGAACCATCTAGACATTCAGGTCAGTACATGCAGTGGTGTAGGTCGGGGTCAAGGAGAACCATCTAGACATTCAGGTCAGTACATGCAGTGGTGTAGGTCGGGGTCAAGGAGAACCATCTAGACATTCAGGTCAGTACATGCAGTGGTGTAGGTCGGGGTCAAGGAGAACCATCTAGACATTCAGGTCAGTACATGCAGTGGTGTAGGTCGGGGTCAAGGAGAACCATCTAGACATTCAGGTCAGTACATGCAGTGGTGTAGGTCGGGGTCAAGGAGAACCATCTAGACATTCAGGTCAGTACATGCAGTGGTGTAGGTCGGGGTCAAGGAGAACCATCTAGACATTCAGGTCAGTACATGCAGTGGTGTAGGTCGGGGTCAAGGAGAACCATCTAGACATTCAGGTCAGTACATGCAGTGGTGTAGGTCGGGGTCAAGGAGAACCATCTAGACATTCAGGTCAGTACATGCAGTGGTGTAGGTCGGGGTCAAGGAGAACCATCTAGACATTCAGGTCAGTACATGCAGTGGTGTAGGTCGGGGTCAAGGAGAACCATCTAGACATTCAGGTCAGTACATGCAGTGGTGTAGGTCGGGGTCAAGGAGAACCATCTAGACATTCAGGTCAGTACATGCAGTGGTGTAGGTCGGGGTCAAGGAGAACCATCTAGACATTCAGGTCAGTACATGCAGTGGTGTAGGTCGGGGTCAAGGAGAACCATCTAGACATTCAGGTCAGTACATGCAGTGGTGTAGGTCGGGGTCAAGGAGAACCATCTAGACATTCAGGTCAGTACATGCAGTGGTGTAGGTCGGGGTCAAGGAGAACCATCTAGACATTCAGGTCAGTACATGCAGTGGTGTAGGTCGGGGTCAAGGAGAACCATCTAGACATTCAGGTCAGTACATGCAGTGGTGTAGGTCGGGGTCAAGGAGAACCATCTAGACATTCAGGTCAGTACATGCAGTGGTGTAGGTCGGGGTCAAGGAGAACCATCTAGACATTCAGGTCAGTACATGCAGTGGTGTAGGTCGGGGTCAAGGAGAACCATCTAGACATTCAGGTCAGTACATGCAGTGGTGTAGGTCGGGGTCAAGGAGAACCATCTAGACATTCAGGTCAGTACATGCAGTGGTGTAGGTCGGGGTCAAGGAGAACCATCTAGACATTCAGGTCAGTACATGCAGTGGTGTAGGTCGGGGTCAAGGAGAACCATCTAGACATTCAGGTCAGTACATGCAGTGGTGTAGGTCGGGGTCAAGGAGAACCATCTAGACATTCAGGTCAGTACATGCAGTGGTGTAGGTCGGGGTCAAGGAGAACCATCTAGACATTCAGGTCAGTACATGCAGTGGTGTAGGTCGGGGTCAAGGAGAACCATCTAGACATTCAGGTCAGTACATGCAGTGGTGTAGGTCGGGGTCAAGGAGAACCATCTAGACATTCAGGTCAGTACATGCAGTGGTGTAGGTCGGGGTCAAGGAGAACCATCTAGACATTCAGGTCAGTACATGCAGTGGTGTAGGTCGGGGTCAAGGAGAACCATCTAGACATTCAGGTCAGTACATGCAGTGGTGTAGGTCGGGTTTCACCCGGTGCGGCACCTATTGGTGTCACCCCCCCCCCGCGATATATATATATATATATATATATATATATATATATATATATATATATATATATATATATATATATATATATATATACAGAGGCGCAGCGACCCTTCCCGGCGACCGGGGACAAACTTTTCGATTTACACCCCCCCCCCCCCTCAATATTTCGATTTGCACCCACCCTCCCTCAAAATTTCGATTTGCACCCCCCTCAAGATTTCGATTTCCACCACCACCCCCCCTCATCAAACTTTCGATTTGCACCCCCCTCAACCTTTCAATTTATTTTTCCAACCCATTTTGGCGCCCCTAAGGTCGGCGCCAGGGGACCTATGCCCCCCCCCCCCCCCCCGCGGACAGGTATACGCATGTGTATATGTATTTTTTTTTCTGGATGCATTTGATTTTATTAAAGCTGCGCGTTTGAGCTGAACTTTGTCCACTTTTTAAAAAAAATAATTTACAGAAAAATGAATAACATAGCGACCACTTACACTTTTCACAACTTTTGAATAAGCTAGAAGCTCTTTACCTCGTATGAGTGTACTAAATTTGTAATCCATTATTATAATTTAACATACTCCATTGCAAAATATACAACATATAATGATCAAACTGATTAAAGGCGTAAACTGATTGTTTTAAAACTTTAAGCCAACCAGTTTTATTTATCTGTTGCTCGCTTTTTATTGCTAATGGTTTCCATTATTCATTTTCGTCTCTCAAGTTTTTTAACTTAATCTATTTATAATGGATTAATACATTTAAAAACTAGTGTTATGTTGTAACATGCACTTTTAAGTAATTGAAAGCAAAGTGTTTTCATTTAACTTATTACTTATTGAAAAATATTTATGACAAAGACAAAAATCCGTGGAAAAGATATACATTCATTTTAGCCATATATAACACAATTTTAATAGGATTAGTAAAATAACCCATTAAACATATTACACATCATAGAAAACAAATCAGCTAATCAATTGTACAACTATTTTCAGACGTGGATTCAGAGTTTCTTCCAGGCATCTCTTCGGGGTGGTGGGGGGGGGGGGGGGGGTGGGACCCCCCGAAAAAAGTCTCCCCCCCCCCCCCCCCCGAACGAAGTGAAATTTATATAATTTATATAGAAAATATATACTTTTTACAGTGTCCGCCCCCCCCCCCCCCCGAAAAAAGGAAGAAAGTCTACCGCCCCTCGAAAATTTCAAGTGCCCCCCCCTGGAGAAAAAAGTCTGGAAGAAACACTGCGTGGTTTGACGTGTCAGTTATTACAATTCTCAAGAAAACCTTTTTCCTCAGGCAAATTTTGCTAAGTTCAGTTAATGTCACCCCCCCCCCCCCCCCTCTTTCCGGTGGTAGCTTTAATTAAACTGTGCACAGATAATACTAACGATGTTCATCTATAATCGGTTATAAATACAGCTGTATGTAGTATTATTTTCTATATCGTAAGCCATGGTGTCACCCCTCTCCCCACCTCTGGATTTGTCAATTTAACTCTAATTAATCATTTATTTAATTGGAATGATCGTTTTTATCTGTATATATTTTGCTATTGTTTGCCTTGGTGTCACCCTCCTAGATGGTGTCACCCGGTGCGGTCTGCCCCCCTCCCCGCTCCCTCCCCTTGCGACGCCTCTAAGTACACGTCCAGCAGGGCCAACTACCTGCGCGTGTACTCCATGATGGCGTGTGCTGTCCATCATGCCAGGAACATTTAGAGACGTCATGACGTCAGCGTGCGTGGCATTTTAATGGGTGGCCGGAAAGAACCGCAACGGAAAAAAGCGCAACGGAAAAAAGCGCAAAACAAAAAGCGCAACGGAAATAAGCGCACACGGAAAAAAGCGCAAAGAGAAAAAAGCGCACACAGAAAAAAGCGCAAAGAGAAAAAAGCGCAAACGGAAAAAAGCGCAAAGAGAAAAAAGCGCACACAGAAAAAAGCGCAAACAGAAAAAAGCGCAAACGGAAAAAAGCGCAAAGAGAAAAAAGCGCACACGGAAAAAAGCGCAAAGAGAAAAAAGCGCAAACAGAAAAAAGCGCAAAGAGAAAAAAGCGCACACAGAAAAAAGCGCAAAGAGAAAAAAGCGCAAACGGAAAAAAGCGCAAAGAGAAAAAAGCGCAAACGGAAAAAAGCGCAAACAGAAAAAAGCGCACACGGAAAAAAGCGCAAACGGAAAAAAGCGCAAACGGAAAAAAGCGCAAACAGAAAAAAGCGCAAACGGAAAAAAGCGCAAACAGAAAAAAGCGCACACAGAAAAAAGCGCAAACAGAAAAAAGCGCAAACGGAAAAAAGCGCAAACGGAAAAAAGCGCACACAGAAAAAAGCGCAAACGGAAAAAAGCGCAAACAGAAACAGAAAAATGCGCAACCAGAAAAAACACAACGAAAAATGTGCAAAAGAGAAATTTAGCACAAAGACCATATGGACTAGATGACACATTTATACATGACTGTTAGGGCTGCTGTGAGAGTGTCGTGTTTGATCACGTGATCTACTACCATTTAAAGCGTACCACTACCATCTGCATTCCCATCACCACGATACAGGCGATAATCACTTTACACAATGCCTATTATTTTCTTGGTCAATAATTATTCAACTACTATTCTCGTATAAACATAAAACTATCGACATTACACGAAGTATCTTTCACATTCTCCCTAGTCCGAACTACCTAGCTTGCATACTATAACAACCCGTTCCTATGGCAAAACTTCACTCTCTTTCATCCGCGTCATCAAACATGCATTCGTCATATCTCTCGTAACAACATTCATTCGCACCAAAATAACAATTTTGTATTTAATATTTTTTCACATCATGACGCACCTACCTACCTACCTACTACCCACCTACCCACCTACCTACCTACCTACCTAACTACCCACCTACCGACTTACCCACTTACCCGCCTACATACTTACCAAACTACCCACCAAAAAAGTATCGGCGAAGTTCGTAAGTTTCGTAAACTGTACTAGACATCACTTTTTTAATGAAAATTCATTGACATCATTGACATTTGTTACATATATGTTACATTTTGCGACAACCTTAATTAGTGCGTTGGGCTTGTATGAAAACTCACTTCGAACTAACTCAATTACATGCTATTTATTTTAACATTTATAAACTTCATCTCTCTTTGTTTCTTTATAAAAAGGTTACGGAAGGTTTTTAATGTATTTTACTGAAATGTTTACCGGACGAATGTCAATGATGTCAATGAATTTTCATTAAAAAAATGATGTCTAGTACAGTTTACGAAACTTACGAACTTCGCCGATACTTTTTTGGTGGGTAGTTTGGTAAGTATGTAGGCGGGTAAGTGGGTAAGTCGGTAGGTGGGTAGTTAGGTAGGTAGGTAGGTAGGTGGGTAGGTGGGTAGTAGGTAGGTAGGTGCGTCATGATGTGAAAAAATATTAAATACAAAATTGTTATTTTGGTGCGAATGAATGTTGTTACGAGAGATATGACGAATGCATGTTTGATGACGCGGATGAAAGAGAGTGAAGTTTTGCCATAGGAACGGGTTGTTATAGTATGCAAGCTAGGTAGTTCGGACTAGGGAGAATGTGAAAGATACTTGGTGTAATGTCGATAGTTTTATGTTTATACGAGAATAGTAGTTGAATAATTATTGACCAAGAAAATAATAGGCATTGTGTAAAGTGATTATCGCCTGTATCGTGGCGATGGGAATGCAGATGGTAGTGGTACGCTTTAAATGGTAGTAGATCACGTGATCAAACACGACACTCTCACAGCAGCCCTAACAGTCATGTATAAATGTGTCATCTAGTCCATATGGTCTTTGTGCTAAATTTCTCTTTTGCACATTTTTCGTTGTGTTTTTTCTGGTTGCGCATTTTTCTGTTTCTGTTTGCGCTTTTTTCCGTTTGCGCTTTTTTCTGTGTGCGCTTTTTTCCGTTTGCGCTTTTTTCCGTTTGCGCTTTTTTCTGTTTGCGCTTTTTTCTGTGTGCGCTTTTTTCTGTTTGCGCTTTTTTCCGTTTGCGCTTTTTTCTGTTTGCGCTTTTTTCCGTTTGCGCTTTTTTCCGTTTGCGCTTTTTTCCGTGTGCGCTTTTTTCTGTTTGCGCTTTTTTCCGTTTGCGCTTTTTTCTCTTTGCGCTTTTTTCCGTTTGCGCTTTTTTCTCTTTGCGCTTTTTTCTGTGTGCGCTTTTTTCTCTTTGCGCTTTTTTCTGTTTGCGCTTTTTTCTCTTTGCGCTTTTTTCCGTGTGCGCTTTTTTCTCTTTGCGCTTTTTTCTGTGTGCGCTTTTTTCTCTTTGCGCTTTTTTTCCGTGTGCGCTTATTTCCGTTGCGCTTTTTGATTTGCGCTTTTTTCCGTTGCGCTTTTTTCCGTTGCGGTTCTTTCTGGGAACCATTTTAATGCTAGATATTGAAAAATTCTCATGTTACTTAACATCATCACTTATCACATCCAGGACCTAGAAAATCTGGCGAAACACGCGGACATTGATGTGGGGGTCATCAAGGGTGGAACCACGGAGCAATACCTGAAGGATTCCAAGGTATGTCAGCATCCAACAAGTGTGGTCATGTTGTATGAATCTGTCCCCAGATCCCCAACATCCACCAGGTGTGGTCATGTTGTATGAATCTGTCCCCAGATCTCCAACATCCACCAGGTGTCATGTTGTATGAATCTGTCCCCAGATCCCCAACATCCACCAGACGTGGTCATGTTGTATGAATCTGTCCCCTGTTCCCCAACATCCACCAGGTGTCATGTTGTATGAATCTGTCCCCTGTTCCCCAACATCCACCAGGTGTCATGTTGTATGAATCTGTCCCCAGTTCCCCAACATCCACCAGGTGTGGTCATGTTGTATGAATCTGTCCCCTGTTCCCCAACATCCACCAGGTGTGGTCATGTTGTATGAATCTGTCCCCTGTTCCCCAACATCCACCAGGTGTCATGTTGTATGAATCTGTCCCCAGTTCCCCAACATCCACCAGGTGTGGTCATGTTGTATGAATCTGTCCCCTGTTCCCCAACATCCACCAGGTGTCATGTTGTATGAATCTGTCCCCAGTTCCCCAACATCCACCAGGTGTGGTCATGTTGTATGAATCTGTCCCCTGTTCCCCAACATCCACCAGGTGTGGTCATGTTGTATGAATCTGTCCCCTGTTCCCCAACATCCACCAGGTGTGGTCATGTTGTATGAATCTGTCCCCAGATCCCCAACATCCACCAGGTGTGGTCATGTTGTATGAATCTGTCCCCAGATCCCCAACATCCAACAGGTGTCATGTTGTATGAATATGTCCCCTGTTCCCCAACATCCACCAGGTGTGGTCATGTTGTATGAATCTGTCCCCAGATCCCCAACATCCACCAGGTGTCATGTTGTATGAATCTGTCCCCAGTTCCCCAACATCCACCAGGTGTGGTCATGTTGTATGAATCTGTCCCCTGTTCCCCAACATCCACCAGGTGTGGTCATGTTGTATGAATCTGTCCCCTGTTCCCCAACATCCACCAGGTGTCATGTTGTATGAATCTGTCCCCAGATCCCCAACATCCACCAGGTGTGGTCATGTTGTATGAATCTGTCCCCAGATCCCCAACATCCACCAGGTGTCATGTTGTATGAATCTGTCCCCAGATCCCCAACATCCACCAGGTGTGGTCATGTTGTATGAATCTGTCCCCAGATCCCCAACATCCACCAGGTGTGGTCATGTTGTATGAATCTGTCCCCAGATCCCCAACATCCACCAGGTGTCATGTTGTATGAATCTGTCCCCAGATCCCCAACATCCACCAGGTGTGGTCATGTTGTATGAATCTGTCCCCAGATCCCCAACATCCACCAGGTGTGGTCATGTTGCATGAATCTGTCCCCAGATCCCCAACATCCATCAGGTGTGGTCATGTTGCATGAATCTGTCCCCAGATCCCCAACATCCACCAGGTGTCATGTTGTATGAATCTGTCCCCAGATCCCCAATATCCACCAGGTGTGGTCATGTTGTATGAATCTGTCCCCAGATCCCCAACATCCACCAGGTGTGGTCATGTTGTATGAATCTGTCCCCAGATCCCCAATATCCACCAGGTGTGGTCATGTTGTATGAATCTGTCCCCAGATCCCCAACATCCACCAGGTGTGGTCATGTTGTATGAATCTGTCCCCAGATCCCCAACATCCACCAGGTGTCATGTTGTATGAATCTGTCCCCAGTTCCCCAACATCCACCAGGTGTGGTCATGTTGTATGAATCTGTCCCCTGTTCCCCAACATCCACCAGGTGTCATGTTGTATGAATCTGTCCCCAGATCCCCAACATCCACCAGGTGTCATGTTGTATGAATCTGTCCCCAGATCCCCAACATCCACCAGGTGTCATGTTGTATGAATCTGTCCCCAGATCCCCAACATCCACCAGGTGTGGTCATGTTGTATGAATCTGTCCCCAGATCCCCAACATCCACCAGGTGTGGTCATGTTGTATGAATCTGTCCCCAGATCCCCAACATCCACCAGGTGTGGTCATGTTGTATGAATCTGTCCCCAGATCCCCAACATCCACCAGGTGTCATGTTGTATGAATCTGTCCCCAGATCCCCAACATCCACCAGGTGTCATGTTGTATGAATCTGTCCCCAGATCCCCAACATCCACCAGGTGTGGTCATGTTGTATGAATCTGTCCCCAGATCCCCAACATCCACCAGGTGTGGTCATGTTGTATGAATCTGTCCCCAGATCCCCAATATCCACCAGGTGTGGTCATGTTGTATGAATCTGTCCCCAGTTCCCCAACATCCACCAGGTGTGGTCATGTTGTATGAATCTGTCCCCAGATCCCCAACATCCACCAGGTGTGGTCATGTTGTATGAATCTGTCCCCAGATCCCCAACATCCACCAGGTGTCATGTTGTATGAATCTGTCCCCAGATCCCCAACATCCACCAGGTGTCATGTTGTATGAATCTGTCCCCAGATCCCCAACATCCATCATGTGTGGTCATGTTGTATGAATCTGTCCCCAGATCCCCAACATCCACCAGGTGTCATGTTGTATGAATCTGTCCCCAGATCCCCAACATCCACCAGGTGTGGTCATGTTGTATGAATCTGTCCCCAGATCCCCAACATCCACCAGGTGTGGTCATGTTGTATGAATCTGTCCCCAGATCCCCAACATCCACCAGGTGTCATGTTGTATGAATCTGTCCCCAGATCCCCAACATCCACCAGGTGTGGTCATGTTGTATGAATCTGTCCCCAGATCCCCAACATCCACCAGGTGTGGTCATGTTGTATGAATCTGTCCCCAGATCCCCAACATCCACCAGGTGTCATGTTGTATGAATCTGTCCCCAGATCCCCAACATCCACCAGGTGTGGTCATGTTGTATGAATCTGTCCCCAGATCCCCAACATCCACCAGGTGTGGTCATGTTGTATGAATCTGTCCCCAGATCCCCAACATCCACCAGGTGTCATGTTGTATGAATCTGTCCCCAGATCCCCAACATCCACCAGGTGTGGTCATGTTGTATGAATCTGTCCCCAGATCCCCAACATCCACCAGGTGTGGTCATGTTGTATGAATCTGTCCCCAGATCCCCAACATCCACCAGGTGTGGTCCAAGATCCAGCGAGAAAGCACCTACGTGAGATCGCTAGAGGACGGCATACAGCGTGTGCGGAAGGCCAAGAAGCGAAACTTTGCGCTGGTCGCCGAGTCAGCAATGGCCACCTACTTCACCAAACAAAGTCCCTGCGATATATACATGGTGGCTGACTTCACAACCATGGGTACTTGTTCTCCATTTCTCTCTCACTCTCCCTCACTCTCCCTCACTCTCCCTCTCATGTTTCGTGATTTAATTAATTCAAGTAAATAGTCTACGGTGGCTGTTGATACTCCATGTTGATACACGGCACAAGTCTATGGTAAATGTAGATTACACGGCACAAGTATATGGTACATGTTGCTAACGGCACAAGTCTATGTTACATGTAGCTTACACGGCACAAGTCTATGGTAAAAGTAGCTTACACGGCACAAGTCTATGGTAAATGTAGCTTACGGCACAAATCTATGTTACATGTTGCTAATGGCACAAGTCTGTGGTACATGTTGATACACGGCACAAGTATATGGTACATGTTGCTAATTACACAAGTCTATGGTACATGTTGCTAATTGCACAAATCTCTGGTATAGGTTCCTACTCCATTGTTCTACCTTTTGGTTCTGGACTCCGTAAGGACATGAACCGAGCCCTCCTGGAGCTACGGGAGACAGGTGTGCTGAAACAGCTGGAGGACAGGTGGTTCGCAGGTGAATGTACGGACTACGTCATGGAGGTCAACCGTAACGACAAGATTCACATTGCTCCGTTCCACACGGTAAGATATCTATCACGTGACTTCATCCATCTTTTCATTGTCTCACTCTCTGGAATAGAATGTGAGAGTATTTCATGGTGACATTTCGACTTTTTATTTTCTCGTATATACGAAGTATAGAGAAAGTCTTGTAATCGTGCACAAAATTCACATTAAATTTGCACAGTTTTCACCGTTTTACTCGTCAGTTCTTCATCACATCCGGGATATAGAGGACTTATTTTAATCGGGAAAAAATTATAAATCTAGATATATCAAAATTTTGGCGTTTTATGCGTAAAGAAGTCGGAAAAACTGGATTTTCCAATTCTGTCCGTATGTCTGTGTAAACACGATAACTTGAATACCGTTACAGCTAGGTTGATGAAATTTCATATATAAGTGTGTGTGTGTGTGGGGGGGGGGGGCACGTGGACAACATTTTCCGGGGAGGGGGTGGGCGCGGACATTGGTAAAAGTATATGTTTTCTATATAAATTCCATTTTGTTCGGTGGGGCGGTAGACTTTTTACCCCAAAGAGGTGCCCGGAAGAAACTCTGTCTGTGTTCCTTACTAAATGCTGATTTTGAGCTTTTTTAAACCCAAAAAAATGCAATTTTAAGTAAAATTTTAGATATTATCATGAATTTTTAGAGATGTTTGTGGTTTTTCTTAATTTTTTGTTATTTACAACTTTTTAATAGCTTAAAATTGTCAATGATTTCAATTTTAGAGTTAAAGCTCCACTGAAGTCAAGGTCTACTGTATTTAGTATTCCCCTTTGGTTGGTGAAATAGGCTTTCTGACGTCATCTCCAGTCGCTTGAACTTTATTGTTCACCATACAAGGGTAGTCTCCACCGCGACAAAAAAAAATTCTGCGTTCCGTCTTGTTGCAATAAGGAACAAACACAACCAACGACTAGTTCTCATACTTTAATACCTGCATAAAGTTACAACACCAAAACTCAAAACCTTGAATGTCTCGATAAAGTTACAACACCAAAACTCAAAACCTTGAATGTCTCGATACAGTTACAACACCAAAACCTTGAATGTCTCGATAAAGTTACAAGACCAAAACTCAAAACCTTGAATGTCTCGATACAGTTACAACACCAAAACCTTGAATGTCTCGATAATGTTACAACACCTAGCATAAATCGCCATCAAATAGAACGCAATGAAGAAAACACGATTAGATCTAGAACTGAACTATAAAGTCCTTATCACGACTAGTCTACATTACGTGTTCCCTAACAGTCTAATCTAATCTAGCTCTACCAACACCCCATGGCCGCGACACACATTCAACAATAACCTATCGTGAGACAATTTACATTTTGGTCGTCCATAGTTGTGCCCGACCTCTAATCCCCCCTACTGCTAACATCATTATTGTTGTGTTCGGAAGAAGCACCATGTTTTCTAGTAGATGGATCTGTACTAAAAACATGTGTTGGCTGTTTTTGTAAGTGTCCCATGTTTGATTCCACTTGAAGGTTGACCTCGGCACGTTCTCTGGGGCTCTGATCATCCTGGGTGTTGGTCTGGCGCTGGGCAGTCTGGTGCTCGTCCTAGAGATTCTCATCTTCAAGTTCGCCGAGAAGGTTGGAGCATGCCCCCTTTTTTGTAAAAACTAAAAGCACGACAGTTTTTTTCTGTTGACTTACGAACAGTCCATTTATTTATATGTGTGTATATAGGCCTATATATATATATATATATATATATATATATATATATATATATATATATATATATATATATATATATATATATATCAGTGGCGTAGCGAGGTCGGGTGTCACCCGGTGCGGCACTTAATGGTGTCACCCCCCAGAGGCGTTGCGACCCTTCCCGGGGACAAACTTTCTAGTTTTCGATTTGCACCCCCTCAAGTTTTCGATTTGCACCCCAAGGTCAATTTATTTTGCTAATTTTTTCCTTGGTGTCACCCCCCTAAATGGTGTCACCCGGTGCTTTCCGCACCCCCCGCCCCCCCTCGCTACACCCCTGATATATATATATATATATATATATATATATATATATATATATATATATATATATATATATATATATATATGTATGCAAACAGCTAAGGATTGTTTAATGTTTTCACTCCACAGGCAGAGGAACATGACTTACCACTAAAAGCTAACATTAGTGAAGGAGGGATTTTATCTACAGAGCCAGAGCCTATCACTGATGTATGATGACAGACATCCGTAAAAATGTAATGACAGATACTGTTTAGTGAAAATAATACTTACCAACGTGATCGTAAATGTAACACGTTTTGACTGAGAGATACAAGTGTGGTGTAAGAAATGCATAGATGTAAAACATTTGTTGGCAACTAATGCAATATGAGAAAAAACACCAGAGGACAGACTGATATAATATGACAAACACCACCAGATGAAAGACTGATATAAGATGACAAACACCACCAGATGACAGACTGATATAAGATGACAAACACCAACAGATGAAAGACTGATATAATATGACAAACACCACCAGATGACAGACTGATATAAGATGACAAACACCAACAGATGAAAGACTGATATAATATGACAAACACAACCAGATGACAGACTGATATAAGATGACAAACACCACCAGATGACAGACTGATATAAGATGACTAACACAACCAGATGACAGACTGATATAAGATGACAAACACCACCAGATGAGTGATATAAGATGACAAACACAACCAGATGACAGGCTGATATAAGATGACAAACACCACCAGATGACAGACTGATATAAGATGACAAACACAACCAGATGACTGATATAAGGTGACAAACACCACCAGATGATAGACTGATATAAGATGACAAACACAACCAGATGACAGACTGATATAAGATGACAAACACAACCAGATGAAAGACTGATATAAGATGACAAACACAACCAGATGACAGACTGATATAAGATGACAAACACAACCAGATGAAAGACTGATATAAGATGACAAACACAACCAGATGAAAGACTGATATAAGATGACAAACACCACCAGATGACAGACTGATATAAGATGACAAACACCACCAGATGACAGACTGATATAAGATGACAAACACAAACAGATGACAGACTGATATAAGATGCAAGATAAGCTCAATATTTATTGCCTTGCTGAGACATAGTCTGTTTCTGTACTTGACCTTATGTTTCTGTATCTGACCTTATGTTTCTCTACTTGAACTCATGCCTGTCTACTTGACCTTATGTTTTTCTACTTGACCTTATGTTTCTCTACTTGACCTCATGTTTTTCTACTTGACCTTATGTTTCTCTACTTGACCTTATGTTTCTTTACTTGACCTTATGTTTCTGTATGTGACCTTATGTTTCTCTACTTGACCTTATGTTTCTCTACTTGACCTTATGTTTCTCTACTGACCTTATAGTTCTTTACTAGACATCAAGTTTCTCTACTTGACCTTATGTTTCTCTACTTGACCTTATGTTTCTCTACTTGACCTTATGTTTCTCTACTTGACCTTATGTTTCTCTACTTAACCTTATGTTTCTCTACTTGACCTTATGTTTCTCTACTTGACCTTATGTTTCTCTACTTAACCTTATGTTTCTCTACTTGATCTTATGTTTCTCTACTTGACCTTATGTTTCTCTACTTGACCTTATGTTTCTCTACTTGACCTTATGTTTCTTTACTTGACCTCATGCCTTTCTACTTGACCTTATGTTTCTCTACTTGACCTTATGTTTCTCTACTTGACCTTATGTTTCTCTACTTGACCTTATGTTTCTCTACTGACCTTATGTTTCTCTACTTAACCTTATGTTTCTCTACTTGACCTTATATTTCTCTACTTGACCTTATGTTTCTTTACTTGACCTCATGCCTTTCTACTTGACCTTATGTTTCTCTACTTGACCTTATGTTTCTCTACTGACCTTATGTTTCTCTACTTGACCTTATGTTTCTCTACTTGACCTTATAGTTTTCTACTAGACATCAAGTTTCTCTACTTGACCTTATGTTTCTCTACTTGACCTTATTTTCTCTACTTGACCTTATGTTTCTCTACTGACCTTATAGTTCTCTACTAGACATCAAGTTTCTCTACTTGGCCTTATGTTTCTCTACTTGACCTTATGTTTCTCTACTTGACCTTATGTTTCTCTACTTGACCTTATGTTTCTTTACTTGACCTCATGCCTTTCTACTTGACCTTATGTTTCTCTACTTGACCTTATGTTTCTCTACTGACCTTATAGTTCTCTACTTGACCTTATGTTTCTCTACTTGACCTTATGTTTCTCTACTTGACCTTATGTTTCTTTACTTGACCTTATGTTTCTCTACTTGACCTTATGTTTCTTTACTCGACCTCATGCCTTTCTACTTGACCTTATGTTTCTCTACTTGATCTCATGTTTCTCTACTTGACCTTATGTTTCTCTACTAGACCTTATGTTTCTTTACTCGACCTCATGCCTTTCTACTTGACCTTATGTTTCTCTACTAGACATCAAGTTTTTCTACTTGACCTTATGTTTCTCTACTTGACCTCATGTTTCTCTACTTGGCCTTATGTTTCTCTACTTGACCTTATGTTTCTCTACTTGACCTTATGTTTCTCTACTTGACCTTATGTTTCTCTGCTTGACCTTATGTTTCTCTACTTGACCTTATGTTTCTCTACTTGACCTTATATTTCTCTACTTGACCTTATGTTTCTTTACTTAACCTTATGTTTCTGTACTTGACCTCATGTTTCTGTATGTGACCTTATGTTTATCTACTGACCTTATAGTTCTCTACTAGACATCAAGTTTCTCTACTTGACCTTATGTTCCTCTACTTGACCTCGCGTTTCTCTACTGACTTGATGTTGTGACATTTTGTGAACTGCCAAAATTATTTTTTTCACAAAAATATGCCTATATATCCCAAGGTGTGGATTTAGTATGCGATCTGAATGTGACCGATTTTCACATTGTCATTGTGTCATCTAAACGTGAAACATTGTCGTTGTGTCATCTGAACGTGAAACATTGTCATTGTGTCTTTTGAACGTGACACATTGTCATATCTGAACGTGACACATTGTCATTGTGTCATCTGAACGTGACAAATTGTCATTGTGTCTTTTGAACGTGACACATTGTCATATCTAAACGTGACACATTGTCATTGTGTCATCTGAACGTGACACATTGTCATTGTGTCTTTTGAACGTGACACATTGTCATTGTGTCTTTTGAACGTGACACATTGTCATATCTGAACGTGACACATTGTCATTGTGTCATCTGAACGTGACACATTGTCATTGTGTCATCTGAACGTGACACATTGTCATTGTGTCATCTGAACGTGAAACATTGTCATTGTGTCTTTTGAACGTGACACATTGTCATTGTGTCTTTTGAACGTGACACATTGTCATATCTGAACGTGACACATTGTCATTGTGTCATCTGAACGTGACACATTGTCATTGTGTCTTTTGAACGTGACACATTGTCATTGTGTCATCTGAACGTGACACATTGTCATTGTGTCTTTTGAACGTGACACATTGTCATATCTGAACGTGACACATTGTCATTGTGTCATCTGAACGTGACACATTGTCATTGTGTCATCTGAACGTGACACATTGTCATTGTGTCTTTTGAACGTGACACATTGTCATATCTAAACGTGACACATTGTCATTGTGTCATCTGAACGTGACACATTGTCATTGTGTCTTTTGAACGTGACACATTGTCATTGTGTCTTTTGAACGTGACACATTGTCATATCTGAACGTGACACATTGTCATTGTGTCATCTGAACGTGACACATTGTCATTGTGTCATCTGAACGTGACACATTGTCATTGTGTCATCTGAACGTGACACATTGTCATTGTGTCTTTTGAACGTGACACATTGTCATATCTGAACGTGACACATTGTCATTGTGTCATCTGAACGTGACACATTGTCATTGTGTCATCTGAACGTGACACATTGTCATTGTGTCTTTTGAACGTGACACATTGTCATTGTGTCATCTGAACGTGACACATTGTCATTGTGTCTTTTGAACGTGACACATTGTCATTGTGTCTTTTGAACGTGACACATTGTCATTGTGTCTTTTGAACGTGACACATTGTCATTGTGTCTTTTGAACGTGACACATTGTCTGTGCAATATGGTTTTTGTGTGCTGACGTAGATGACTACTGTATTGTCTCCATCTGTAGAATGACAGTTGACTGTTTGACATGTGACAACAATGCCCTGTTCAGCAGCAGTCACCTCATCTGTTGTCAACATAATCTTTTATAGCTGTATGATTTGCATAACTAATTAAAAAAATACTCTTTAGTTGTGTGGTTTTTTTTTGTTTGTTTTGTTTGCTTTAAAAAAAACATTATTTAAATGTATTTGCGAGATGTGTATTTGAATTGATGCTATGAACGATTTGAATGTGAAAGTTTTTTTTTATTTATCAAGGATGAAGCATCGATGGTTCCCTGAAAATGTGTCCATAGGAAAGTGCACCATCATCGGATTTCGCACATATAAAAAAAAAACATTTGAGTGACTACAATTATAATGGTTTTTTTTGTGTGGATTTGTTTATTCACTAAGACTTTCATTAATTTGGTAGATATTTCAAAGAGAACAAAAATGTCGACGTCAATTAGTTATTTGAACGGTTATGTAGTGTGTCGTCACAGGCACGAGGAGACACTTGGGCTTCGTTTGTAGTGGAGAAAGTTTTTCTCACAGAATGCAAGTTTTTAGATGCCCGTCGGACACCTATAGGTGTGGTGGGGTGTGGTTTGGGTTAAGGGGGTGTGGGGTGAGATGGTTTGGGATTGGGGGGTGGTGTGGTCTATGGCGTAGCCAGGATCGTCTCATGGAGGGGGGGTTCAAATATTTTCCAGCATTATATATATATATATATATATATATATATATATATATATATATATATATATATATATATATATATATATATATATATATATATATGTGTGTGTGTGTGTGTTGTATTCCCCCCCCCCCAACCTGCCTACGCCACTGGTTGTGGTGTTGGAGATTTTTTTACGAGCAAGCCAAGCAGGCTTTACATTAAAGTGTAGCTGAACTTTTAGTAGAATGTATTGTATTTAGTAATGATTATTCATCTCAAAAGATCTGATTATTTAGATCTATATCATATTTAGATGTCAGATTATATTGCTTTTTTTTTTAAATATTGAAGTAGGCATATGCCTATACATAATTTATGTTTTACGAAATCAAATACACATTGAAGCCGTTTGACAGCATTTTTACACGTTTGATCGCAGATTTAGTTTCATCTTTTGGATCAATTTAAAAGATTTTTATAATACAAATTTGTCGCCAAATGTTTTCTAGATAATGGGGGAGTGGGAGGTTAGATCGTTGCACAGTCCAGGTTTGAGTTTGTGAATACAAAATGTTACGACTTTGACAACCTACAAAAACAATTTATTTAAACTGATTTATTAGTAGATCTAGTCGTGATGCAGCTGGATGTGTTTGCAATTTACGTCACTCTCCACTTTTACATCCTTCGGACAAAGTAAGCCCTACCCCAAGAATGCTAAAAGAAATATTTATTTAAAAACGGCCTTATAAAAATTTTTTTAACTTTACCTTGCCAGACTTTTTTAAGCTGTTGTGATCTAAACGCAGTTTTTAAATGATGTAAAATGTGTTTGAATAGAATAATCTTTACAATCGCAGATCAAGATCTAGACTCTATATTATTTTTGTCTACAGAATTAATGTTAAATGTTTTTAGTCGTCTTAAACCTTGATGACAATTTTCAGGTGTTTAACTTTGGATAACTTGCAAGTTTGGTTTTGGCACCGACTTCCTTTCAGCAGACGATAATAATAGTCTCAATGAATTAACTTGTAAACATGGCGGATAAGGCTGTCCGCAGCATAGGCTCTGGTGATCAACCAGTTCCTATGAAATTATTTGCTACATGGGAGGTAGAAAAATCAACGCCGAATTGCATACCAAGGTTGGTTGACTGTAAATTAAGAAATTGTTACTATGAAGAATAAGTTAAAGTTTAGATCTAGATTCTAAATCTCTAGAATCTGTGATCAACTAAGAATCTACTCAAGAGTGAAGACTGAAGGAAGAGTGTCAATCAATGGACACCACAGTGTGTTGACGAAAATCCTTCCGTAATGTTGTTGACATGGAATAAAAATGTGCTTTTTTAGATTTAGGACCGTTAAAATAATAAAAGATAAAATTTTATTAAAAACTTAAGCATAAAATTAATTCAGAAATTTAGGCCTAATATTTTTAGAATCATTGCTATACACTAGGGACTTGGATGACGTAGATTTTGAGGCACTAAAAACGAGAGTTTTCTGCCCATACCGAGTTTCGTCGATTTAGCCGTGCGGTCGCGGGTGATGATCGAAAAAAAATGTTTTTATTATAAATCGCCGATGCTACTAATAATTTGATGACTGATTCTGAAAAACAAATGGATTTCATATGTTACGGTATTTTTGTTTTGAGATTTTGTTGAAGGTGAAAACGGATTTTTGGAGCCAAACTTTGGCTACGTAAAACTCTTTGTACCATAAAAACTTACTAACAACGAAGGCCAATAAAAAGCCCTCCGACCATAATCACCATTTTTCTTTATGTGTGTAAATTTTCATAATGTTAATCGATAGCAAGGTATTTTTTTATAAATAGTTTAGAAAGTATAGGCTTAAGCCATTTTACGACTACCGGGAAAGACAGAGGTTAAAACCGGAAGTGTACTTGTGTTGTTAATGACGCCATTGCTCTCAATTGAATTGATTTGTAAATCCAGCAACATCCACACGAATCTGACTTTAAAATCATTTTAAATTATAGAATTATATTTTATATTGATAAAACTATGATTTTTTGTTGACTTTGTGCGCATATTTTCTATTTAGATTCATTTTTTTTGTAATTTTGAGTTAGATCTAAAAATAGATTTCTGCGAAATTTTTCAAGTTGAATTATTGTTTCATTTTAATTGTATGGCCTAGATATAGATCTAGATCTATGTTGTTCTTGAATGAGTTCTGTATTTTATATTAGCTATCATTATAGTAACTTGTGTACTTTCCACATTTTTCTTAAATTTTAAAGCTTGATATAGATCTAGAATCTAATATAAAATTCCATTTGCCTATCATTTGGTCTATAAAATATAAACCAATAGGGTAATTCTATATTAAACATTTAGCCTTTTGATTGCTTTTCAAGCGAATTTTTATTACCAATATTACTAATATTCAAACATGTTAGTAGTCCTATATTTTCGTTATAGCTCTAGGACTTTGTTCGTTTTAGATTTATTACTAAATTACTACAATCCTTGTACAATGTTCTGTCTTCATCTGTAGGCCTATTTGAAGTACATATGATACTACTGTATTTTTGCTGTAGTATACATCTCAGTTGCTTTTTTACTAGTCTTGGCCCTAGATAAAATGTACCAGTTCAGCAAGGGGATAGAGAATCAAAAGATGTGGATCTACTCATAAGCAACTTCAATGAAGGAGAAATAGGTCCACTTAAGAATGGATGTTGCTGGTTTTTATTACAGTTCTAAAAGCTATCAGCCAGAGGAGACACAGCTTCAGTAGATGTTTAATCAGATTTCATTTTTAAATCATTGATGGTGTTATTTTTTAAAGTAAAAAAGTGATACAAGCTAATAGACTTAAGCATGTTATCCACACAGCATGAGATGTCACTTAAATATATGACATGTTTCTAAATTATAAAACTTACCTTTAACATTAAATGGTGATCTTTACTCCACCAATAAAAAAATCATTTCAATTATTAAATTATTTGTTCAACAATAATTGTAAATTAAATTATATCAATTCTATGATAACATACACATAACATGGATGAAATATCATGCATATTGACAACATTTAGATACAATTTTAGTTATCTAAAATCAGTTTAGCATTGTACTTCTTTCTTGCAAAAAAGTAGTTGCGCAGAACAAAAATGACTTTTTAAATTTGACCAACATTGTAACAAAACCACATAAGCTAAGTGAAATATTTTTTCTTTGTGTGGATGTATACAATGTTGGCACCAATTAGGCCAATTTTCATTAAGATATTCCATATAATAAAAATTTGGCAACAGATTATGTGTTGCCCATAGCAGAATTTATTGTTTAAAATTAAGGGGGGTATATGAGTTTAAACCCCTTTTTCATTGAATAAAATATTTTTAAAATCAAATTTGAACAAAGGAAATATCAAAGTATATAATAACCTTCATGTTTACAATATTTCTTGCATATAAGCAAAGTAATCTAAAATCAGCTCAACATTGTACTTCTTTCTTGCAAAAAAAGTAGTTGCACAGAATAAAAATGACTTTTTTATTTTGTCCAACATTGTAATAAAACCACATAAGCTAAGTAAAATATTTTGACTTTCTGTTAATGTATACAGTGTTGGCACTATTCAGGCCAATTTTCAGTAAGATATTCCATATAATAAAAATTTGGCAACAGATTGTGTGTAGCCTATCAAAGACGCTTATTCAAAAATTTTAGGGGGGTGACCCTCTTTGTTAACATTATTTTTTATGATCATTCTCATCCAATTCAATTATTTTTATCTTACTCTTTTACTGATATCATAAGCTTGATCTTAGTGAATTTTCATTAAAAAATACCTGCTATTTAAAAAGTTACAGAGATTTTAGTTCGCATCCAAAAAAGTAGGGAAGCAAAAAATTGAGAAAACCCCATAGTAAAAAAACCCGAAAATTAAATACATTAAAAATTCATAACTTCGTAACCGTTTGAGCTAAAATTAAAATAAAAGTATCTTTGTTCTTGTCTAAATGAGCTCTATAAACTGGTGCTACTACATTTTTTATTTTTTTAAAAATGAAATTTCATCCAAGTCCCTACTATACACTAGCGAGGCTCACTAAATCTTAATTTTTATTTTTTATTTTTTTAACCAATACCAATAAAAGCTAGAGATATTTTTCTAACTAACTAGGCACTACATTTGATGATTTTAGCTCATTATGAACTAAAATACATGATTTTAATTATTGGTGCCATACAGCTTAGCTGTGAAAGATTTTTCCATGACAACCAGTCTGAGATCTGATTCCTAAAGTTGACCTGAAAACTACCTAGGAGGTTCGTAAGGATCATGTGTGGGGAGGGGGAAGTGGAGGTATGCTGCAATAAAACGAAATCGAAAGGATACTCGTAACTTGGTTATGTAATCTATTTACTATATTTTTAGCAAACGCCAAATGAATGAACCAAAAATAATCACGTATAAGGCAGGAAACAGATTCAACTCTCAAACATCTACTTTTAGGGTCGATTTTCGCCAATTTTCAAAGTAACAAATATTGACATATTATATATCAAAATTTTGTTGCTTAACAATCGAGGAATTCAAAAATATAAAAATTAATAGCTCTAGACATTTACATCACGTTCAAAATTTAGATTAACCACACTCACTCAAATGACATTTTTTTTTTACATCTAAATGTAGTAAGGTCTAAAATCCACGAAATTCACAAAATTAACAATATAATTACACAGAAATGTCACTTAGGCATAAATTTATTTGTAATTATGTCAAACTTTACAAAATATACCAGTTTATAGCTTATTTCTATAATTATTCTTGAAAAAAAAAACGACCGCTATCCCCTTTAAAAAATGTTCAAAATTCTGGCTTTTAAAAACACTCTGGGGAAGAAAAAAATAACAGAGTTAAATATAGAAGGTCTATATAAAAAATATTATTAGTAAAATATGTCTATATGCCAATTTTTATTATAGTTGCAGCATTTACATGGCTAATTATAATTGTTTAGTACTTTATAAATTAATTTAAAGTTACGACTGTCTGTGGCCTCATTCAAATAGTGTGGTGTCAGTGAACAGGGTGTTAGGGCCTGATACGATTTCATTAGAATTGGTAATGAACAGAATGTATCATTAGAACTGGCCTATAAAAACAATGTTGATGATAGATGCAGTAGTTTTAATGCTACTTATAATAGATCAAAATGACAAACATAATTAAAACCTAAGAATCTGGAAGCGGTGACCTCATTTTACTGACACGTTTGTCAAATAGTTAGTAAAATCGATCTAGATCTAGAATCTACGTAATTTTGAAAATACGCTAGATCTAGAAGCAAAATCACTTTTAAAAACTAAAGTTAGTGATTAGTTCTGTAATGAAATTGAAATCCACAGCTAATATGTAAGTATCTTTTGATTTAAAAAAAAAATACGCGTAGTTCTAAGAAAAAAAATTTCATCGGTGTACTCGATCCCTATCCCAAAACGTGCCAGCCATATCGCATGCGTATTCAGCTACTCAGCTGCTTATCAAATCTTCGAATTTTAAATTTATATAATAAAAGTAGGTCACCCTAAAAAAAAGAGTACAATGGCTCCCGTTTTCACGACAGCCGTCACTCGATTCATAATTTACAGAGTTATAAAGTTCTACTTTCTTTTGGCTATAGATTTGAAGAAATTTAAATTTGTTATTTCTCATGTGTTCCAACAATTGTACCTAATTTTAATAAACATTACATTAGTGAGGACTCGGTTCTTTTTAGGATTAGCCCTCGACACTATACAGACTATTGCGAAGAAACAGACTCGCGCGAATGTCGTGCGTAGGCTGGCTCAGTGGCGAAGGTTAGAAGCCAATTTCAGACGGAAAGTTTTTACTTTGAAATAATTACATTATCAATTAATTTCGATTTAAAACAAATGGCTTAAAGTCAAAAGTAAACTAACATTTAAAAACTTTGTTATTCGCAGTGTACTCAAGATTCTCGTGTTTTAAAGATAAGTCTAGTTTTACTACGTGTGCGTGCGACGCCGATGTGTCGTAATTTTCGGCAGTCATTTTGTTCAAATTAAAGTAAAAAACGCATTCAAATATACTTTTTTTTACTTTCATAATTTACAGCAATCATTTCTAA